CAGCTTGCATTAACTAGCCACACACACACAGCCTCCCCCCCTCGCCACGAGATCGCCAGTCACCCACCATTTTAGTCAACCAGCTCCTTTCTTTTCCCCCATAAGTCAATCGAAGGAGCCTCCAAAACAAATTCAAGAGCCCCCCTCCCATGAGATCTCCTTTCCTCCCCCCCATGTGCCCCTACTCCAGACAGATCTTTTTGCCGGCAAGGGTGAGTGGGCCGTCGATGACGTATCCATCCGATTCTGATCCGAGCACTCAGCACAGTTCAACTTCTGAGCCCCTCTGAGCCAAAGGCAGAAAGCCCAGCCAGCAGCCAAACGAAGCCTCAAGGAAAACCACCGTCACCTCTCCGCTGGGAAGCGCTGAGCAAAGGCGAGTCCCCAGGCAACGCAGCTGATTTGATCAGCTCAAGGCATGCAAGCTCCACCCCCCAGTTGTTCTTAGACTTCTTATTGGGTGAGCAACACAGCCAAGCAACACAGTTGGAGCCTGCCTCCTCCCTGGCCAGCAGGCAGGGAGGGAGAGGAGCTGCTCCTTTGAAATTTAAGGGACATCATTTAAGGGACATACATTGATAAGGGACAGCAGCGGGACATGGCGCTGGGATAAGGGACTGTCCCTTCAAATAAGGGACACTTGACAGCTATGATTCCATTACCTTCTGTTTCGTTCAGTATAATAGTCACAAACATTCTGTGACTGTATAAGAGCTCAGCCTATTAGCAGGAGTGGGATAGGGACTCGACAGACAGACAAGACAGACAGACAACAAATGACCGAAAGATTCTGGGATGTGGGATATGTGCAGGATGTATACGGTGTACCATAATGATGTATGGGAGCAAAGAAGGACTAAGTAGAATTAGTTGGATATAATATGGGGGTACTGGGATGAGAGATTTATTTTGAAAGCATAATTTGGATTTCTACAGTTATAGACTAAGGTGGGGTGCAGCTCTCAAGTCAGTAGCCTGAGAACCAATGCACATAAAAGTGCATGAAAGCATCATGGCAATGTGCCAACTCCACTCAAGGATGTTCCTTGATTTTACAAAGATGGACATTTGTGCGCAACAACTTTTGGTTTAGAAAAAGTTCTATTTTTATTTGTTTGTTTAAATATACCGCTTATTTATTGAAGTTGCTAAGCTGTCTTATTGGGAGAAGGTACAGTAGCCGGAAGTCTGAGCCTTCTTGTCTTTTTTAAAATAGTGAGCCCCTCATATCTCGAAGCAGGCCATGCTTATAGTCAGCCCTGCATCCTGGGTGGGGCAAATGGGTGCACTGCCATGCTTCACACACACCCTGGAATTCCCCCCCCGGGGGGTGGGGGTTTGTCTTTTTAATTGGTGGCATGACAGACAGTGACAGCCTGCATTTTAAAAATGACAGCTTGTTTGAAGAAGAGGAACAATATAAGAATAGGACCCAGTTATTATGAAGAGTAGAGCAGGATTGGGAGCCTATTTGGCTAAAGGGTGAAAGAAAGAGATAACTTAAGGTGAACTGAAAAATATGTACCCTAGATTACTAGGGATTTGTTTTCTTCTTCAGGTGAAAGAGGACTGTAGCTACAGGCAGTCAAGCTTTCAAGCCTCATATTCCTGGGAGTCTCTCAAAAAATTCAACTTCATTCACACCTGAAGAACAGCAAAGGCATTAATTTTCAAGCAGAAGGGTTCTAGAAATATGAATGGTTAGAGTATTCTCTATAAGCTGAGGCCACGTTCTGCTATGCTTTAGCATTTGATTCCTGTCATTTAATTCCTCGTGTTCATACTAAATTTTCTAGCAACTTGACCTTTACACAGCCTCTTATGTAAGTTAGCGGGACGCGGGTGGCGCTGTGGGTAAAACCTCAGTGCCTAGGACTTGCCGATCGTGCCTAGGACTTGCCGCGGCGGGGTCAGCTCCCGTCGTTCGGTCCCAGCTCCTGCCCACCTAGCAGTTCGAAAGCACCCCTAAGTGCAAGTAGATAAATAGGTACCGCTTTCTAGCGGGAAGGTAAACGGCGTTTCCGTGCGCTGCGCTGGTGCTGGCTCGCCAGAGCAGCTTCGTCACGCTGGCCACGTGACCCAGAAGTGTCTTCGGACAGCGCTGGCTCCCGGCCTCTTAAGCGAGATGAGCATGCAACCCCAGAGTCGGTCACGACTGGCCCGTACGGGCAGGGGTACTTTTACCTTTACCTATGTAAGTTAGCACATTCTCTGCATGGAGGAAGAGGGAGGGGGGAGCAGGAGGAGGAGCAGGCAGTGCAGACACACTCCTGTAGTGCTGCTCAATAGTGGCCGGAAAGGCGTTGTGGCAAGCAAAGGAGGCCCGATTAGGCTCTTTTTCACTGTTGTGTTATGATTACGATTGCAATGAAAGCTATTAAATAGAAGAAAATGAATGTGTAGATAACAGATCAGGTGTCCATTCAAATCTCTTAGGCTGCAGTCCCAACCCCTACTTACTTGGGAGAAAGCCCCATTGAATTTGATAGGTATACCTTCTGAGTAGGCATGGTTAGGATTGTGCTGTTTGTTAGCCTTTTTTTTTTTGCTAACAATAATAGAACCGGAGGAAACTCCAGGTTCTTCGCTAGCTCAGGTGAATATTTATTTGCACCACACAGCAGTCAGAAGCTGTAATTGTAGAATACTATACTACGCTATCAGCTCGCTTAATTTTCTTACAGTAGCCCCTGGAAATGATGGTGTGTGTGTGTGTACTAAAGTAGCACTGATAGCAGACAACATTTCTCTTAATTAGCGCTAATGTGTGAGAAGTATCCAGAGAAGCAGCAGATAGTGACATACAGAGAAACCTGAAAGCAACTATAAGGAAATTAACCAGTGTGCCTGAAGATATAACATCTCCCAAGCTTTGTGTCTGAATAAATTCTTGGTTATTTGTTGAAAAGAACATAGTGAGAAAACTTAAATGGTGTTTCTGAATACTAGGCAAGTGAAATGTATACTGAGGGCAACAGAACAAAATGAGAATATCTACTGACAAAATGCCAAGAACCTATATTAAATCGTCATCCTGTGGGGCACAGTTCTGTTTGGGTGCTGTATATAAATAATGGATAACAAGTAGCATTTAGAGTTTGACAGTAATATCCTGTCTACTCAGGGGGAAAGCTCTATTGAGGTCAATGGGATTTACTCCCAAATAGACGGGTATAGGATTACAGCCTTAGAAGATTCAAATCATTCCTTGCTTATTGCCAGAACAATAATTGCAACAACCCTGTTAGGTAGATCACAATTCCCTTCTTGCTGATGGTGAGTTGTGGCTGAGAGATTGTGGTTCCCAGCTATGGCTGCCTAATGAGTTTATGGTAGAAGGAAGACTTGAACTGGGAACATCCTGAACTACAGTTCAGTGGAAAGGGGTGTGACTTGGGACCAGAGCACATGATCTGCATGCAGAAGAGCTGAGGTTGGATCCTGGTCATCTCCAGGGAGAGGATCCTCTCTGAAACCTTGTAGAGCCTGTGCCAGTCAGAAAAGACTGCACTGAGTTAGACAACATAGTGAACCTGATCCTTGGGATAATGTTGCTTCCTACATTGTGCTTCACAAACTTATTGATCAGTTTCCAAAGCTGTTTGCAGGACGCAAAAATAGAAACTATTTAATAGAAACTATTAACTCTGCAAATTCTGTAGCTTTCCTGTAGTTATATAAAGAGCAGTACAGTGGTACCTCGGGTTACATACGCTTCAGGTTACATACGCTTCAGGTTACAGACTCCGCTAACCCAGAAATAGTGCTTCAGGTTAAGAACTTTGCTTCAGGATGAGAACAGAAATCATGCCGGCAGCGGCGCAGCGGCAGCGGGAGGCCCCATTAGCTAAAGTGGTGCTTCAGGTTAAGAACAGTTTCAGGTTAAGTACGGACCTCCGGAACGAATTAAGTACTTAACCCGAGGTACCACTGTATTGAAACTTATAGGCACTAAGGGATTTTTTGGTGGTGAATCCATTGACACTGAACATTTACTGTGCTGTTGTGAAATGTTCATAAACATTTGATCTGTTGCAAGAATGGAGCTCTATACAGCAGGTTGCTTGAAACAGTCCCATGGCACACACACCATTCTTTACTTTTGTTGCCTTCCTCCTTCCATCCATAACAGCAGCATTGCTCTGCCTTTTAGACACTGCTGCCAACACCAAGAGAGACAAGTGAACTGAAGAGCTCCGAGCCACTTTGGGTTAGGCCTAACCCCCCTCAAGCCTACAGGCCATAGATGAGAGACAATGGTTCTCTTAGGCCTTTGGTTTCAGTTGAATGAAGTAAACATGCAACTTCATTCATTCATTTGCTGCCTCCCCTCCCCTGGCTTCTGACTCAATCTATTTATTTATCTAACAGATTTATATGTTGACCTTCTGTCAAGGGACCACAGGCAGTTTACAATTTTAAAATATTAAACACAAATTTCAAAATATAGAACAGCAGAGATCTCACGGGCTGACTGTCCCTTTAGGAGCCGACAACATGAGAAATTTGGCTGGGCTGCTTTTACTTCCTCTTCTTTTCATTCAGTTCTAGATTGCAAGCTTTTCAAAGTCCATTCACAGCACTGACATTGGAAGTTGGTATAACTGGGCACCTGCCAAGGTCCATTCACCAAGAATCCTCAGAGCCACCTGACCTTCCTCTTCCCTACCACCAGTCCCCAAGACCCCTTGAACTTGCTCCTTTGTTGTTACTGCCCGTTCACCTACCTGCTCCAAGGAGTAACTATTGGGAGGAGAAAAGGAAAGGACAAGTAACATTTTGTCCTCCCCTTCTATGAAGTGGTACAAGTTGGCCCAGAGAGCAAAGCAAATGAATGAGCACACAGATAGCTGAGTCAACTGAGAGCATCATGCCCAAAGGTGTCCTGATACCAAGAACAGGGCACTGCCATTCAACTCTGTCTAATGCCATGTGTAACAACGGAACCATATTTTAATAAATAAATAATATTCCTCTCTTCTCTTTTTTTTCTGAAATAGTTTTACCATCAGTAATGGTCATATGGAGAAAAAAGGCCTCCTAGAATTGAATATTGAGCACAACGACCAGATTCCGCCTACACTGCTCACAAACAAAGGACTCCATATTGTGGAGGGGAGTATAGGTTTTTTAACTTCCGATATTCTTCAGCTTACAGATGTAGACAGTCCAGTGAAAAACCTCACCTATATCATCACACAGTATCCACAATACGGACATTTATACATGGGGGAAACTGTCATCTACCCTGGCCAGTTTACACAGGTGGATGTGGATAACGCAAAAGTGTACTACAAGCACAGTAGAGGAGGTGGACACATTGATAAATTCTCATTTAGAGCTACGGACAAAGTCAACCATGGATTTTTGGTTAATGGACAACTGACAGATGCCTCCACAGAATTTACAATACAGGTGTGTATGGAAATTAAATATATTCCTTCTTTTTTCTAAACATGGTAAATGCACTCACATGAGGGAAGACAGTATTTTACCACCTGAGAGGGGAAAGTTCATGAATTTATCATATCAAACATTGTGGTGGGAATTATGCCCAAACCGTTGACTTGGGTCCAGAATGTATTTTCTATCCATAAACATAATAAGAGTCTTCGGGATCAGGCCAACAACCCTTCTTGTTCAGCATCTGTTCTCACAGTGGCCAACAAAATAAATGCCAATAGTAAGTCCAAAAAAGGACCTGAGCATTTGGGAGGCGTTCAAAGGCATACAGCCTCCAACAGTGGAGATAGAAACCAGCCATTGTTCATGGAAGGTTTGAGAGTCAACAAAAGCTCCCACTGGAGGAAGAGGGAGAGAGCCAATTTTCACAAATATTTTTTTACTTGCCTCCCACACTGTTGTGTAGGGCCCCCAAACCTCCAGAACAAATTTTCAGGGGTGCAGGGGAAAGAGAAATCCGCTATCGTCACCTCCCTTTTCTTCCTCCAGCTGGAGTGTCCTGTGATTCGAGTTCATCTCATGGGAAGTCTCAATCTGAGCCATTCTATTCTAATGGTGCCTATAGCTAGGAGGGCATGACCTTGGATGGAAATGGCCATGTAAGATCAACAGTGTGAGCCAAAGTACAAAGGAGAAAGGGTTCATAATAATTGCACAGAATGGGGGAAAGGGGGAGCAGGTTTGGTTTCCTCTTCCTCATAAGGTATGTGCCAAAATTCCATCTCCCGTGCAGCTGTTAAAGGTATAGGAGCTGTCTTTTGTGTCTGGTTAATCAAACAACAAATAACCTTTTGGGAGTATTACTGTTATAATCATCAGAATCCAGATCCATGGGGTGGTCAGAGATGGACAGGAACATTCAAAACAAGCCTCTAAACTGGTTGCATGATTTGGTCCCAAGACCCACTGATTTCCATGGAGTAAAGATCTAAGTGTTGCTGTTTACCTGTGAAATTTAGCTCTGCGCCTTTAAACCTGCTGCTTGACAGTGGGTACACATTTAACTGCTTATTCAAGACTGAGAAGCTTAACGTGTCTGGTAAATCAGCCTCAGTGGCCACCAGAGAGAGACACCTGGCAAAAGTTCAGAAATCAGTGTTTCGGAAAGATTGGTTTGACCAGCTCTCATGTGAGAACATGTTCCTGGCCAAATGCAGTGAAATTCTAAATGACATTTAACTGATCCCTTGCTGCTCTTAACTATGGTCAAACCCTCCAAAACCTCACAGGATGATCAGGTTCAGTCTATTTAGGTCTTTGCTTTTTGTGGCTTGCTGTTCCTGTTTTAAGGGTGCATTTTTGAGTAACCCAGTTTTGTCATGGTTTATTGAACAGTCTTGGGGGACCCTTGCATTTTAAAATATGCTTTTATATGTTAAAACGTGGAGTGGGGGGGGGTTTCCTCTTTACTGTGAACAGCTGCAATGTGTACACCCCGATCCTGTGCTTTTTCTTTTATTACTTTGTAGTAAACGCCACTGAGTTCAATGGAACTTACTCCAAAGTAAGTGTGTAGCCTTAAAGTTATAGGTTACCTTATAAATTCAAAACCTACCTTAATCTCTTATTGTTATAACTCATGGTGCAGTTTTAGGGAGAATTGCAGGTTTCGGAACACAAGGAGTTAATGGGAAGTAGCTCCTAAATAGCATGTTTCTTAAATCTCATGGCCTAGTTTACTAATCAGTTGTCATAAGATGTCAGATAGGGAACCATCACTTAAGGACTGCAGAATGCAGTCAGTCAAGCAACTAATTGGTTGGACAGTGGCATGAAGGTGTATCTCCCAGAGGATGGCGAATTATCAGAACAGGTGAAAAAAGTTTGGATAGATGAGCATCTCAGTGGTATAAAACTCAACACTTGGCTGAATTACAATGATGTCAACAGGGAAAGTAGGGTTGTTCCTTCTTTGGGGACCACACATCACCACAGTGGACTGAAATGCCGTCATTCCCCTTCTCTGGTCTAATTTCAGGTTGAAACTGCCAGTCAGCTGAATGCTTGAAGGAGCATGACCCAAGCTGTAGGGGGATGGCATACTTGGATGGGTTTTTTTTTTTAAGCTGAAAAAACTTGTGCTTTCTATTCCATATCCCTTTTGCAACTTATCCCAGCCCTTGCATCCTTTTCCCCAGTCAACAAATCTAGCGATCCATCTTAATTCAGCCTCTGGCTGTAACCCACTTCCCTTTTTCTGGTTAACCCCCAAAACATCACCACCAGGAGTTACAGTGCTGTGCCCTGTGAAATCTTTCCGTAATTTATCCAGCTTTCCAGCCATTCCCAAACATAGAGCCTATTAATCCCTCCTTTTCTCTTTTAGCACCTGTCCACCATTTTTAAGATGCCGTTCCTTCTTTTCAGAATAATCACATCAAATCTATACAATCTGTACTTAATTTTTGCATTTTATCACTAGATGATTTATTTTGCCAATGCATCAGAATCCAGATGCCCTCTGAAGCCATTCCCCAGTGTCCTGGTACATAAATAATAGCTGATTTGAAATCCCAGAATCCTTACACCTACTAAAAATAAAAGTGGGAAATGGAGGGAATACAATTCTTTGTATTGGGAACCTACTGCTGTGTGGGATGTCATGCTGGTTTTTGTGTTTTCCCAATTGTATTTATTTATTTATTTATACCCTGCCCATCTAGCTGGGTTTCCCCAGCCACTCTGGGCAGCTTCCAACGAAATATTAAAATACAGTAATGCATCAAACGTTAAAAGCTTCCCTAAACAGGGCTGCCTTCAGATGTCTTCTAAAAGTCTGATAGTTGTTGTTCTCTTTGACATCTGGTGGGAGGGCGTTCCACAGGGCGGGTGCCACTACCAAGAAGGACCTCTGCCTGGTTCCCTGTAACTTGGCTTCTCGCAGTGAGGGAACTGCCAGAAGGCCCTCGGGGCTGGACCTCAGTGTCTGGGCAGAACAATGGGGATGGAGACGCTCTTTCAGGTATACTGTTTAGGGCTTTAGAGGTCAGCACCAACACTTTGAATTGTGCTCGGAAACGTAGCAGACAATGTATTGTAGCAGACAACGGCAAGGGTATCTGTATTTTCATGCAACTAACTTAATTATTAAGTGGAGCAAAATGCAATTTCACGTTTCATGTGTAATATTCAAGTTGAATATATTGTATAGATCAGGAGGTGGGAATCCTCTGGCTCTCCAGATATTCTCCCTAGGCCATTGGCCACGGCTTTAGAATTAACAAACAATACAAATTCTCCTTTTCACCTTAATTTTATTCCAAATGTGTTCTCTTAACAGGTAGAATGTCAAGATAAAATGGTTCCAAAACTCATTGTAAAGGCAAGCCCAACCACTATACAAAACCTGAAAGACGGGAGGTTTGCAATACCGATCACTGTTCACAACTTGAAAGTCACAGATGCCAATAGCAGAGATGAGGAACTCGTCTTCAGTGTTCGGAGACATCCTTTCTTTGGACATCTTGAAAATTCTGGAACAGGTCTTTTATTTCTTTAAACTCTGATTTAGGGGCTGGACCTATGAAGGTGAACAAACAGTACAGGACAGAGTTCTGGGATTAGGCCACAACTTTATTGTTTCCAGATGTAGGTTGATTTTGGCTTAGGCCAGGCATAGGCAAACTTGGTCCTCCAGGTGTTTTGGGACTACAACTTCCATCATCCCTGACCACTGGTCCTGTTAGCTAGGGATGATGGGAGTTGTAGTCCCAAAACACCTGGAGGGTCGGGTTTGCCTATGCCTGGCTTAGGCACTGGGTGTATATCCCTCTCAGCCCTGTGGTGGAAGGCTGACACGTGACAGGGTCAAGCCCAGGTTCAAAGGGTCCTCAGAGAGACTCAGGTCTACATGGATGGCCCTCCCAAGCTGCTGAAGGAAGCCCTTTGGCCCATCTGCCACACACCTTGGCTTTGGGATAGAGACCTCCAACTAGATCCCTCTAATAGGGTGCCATATTATCACACAGTTCTGTGGGGGAGGTGATGTACCACATCACACCCACCCGCCTGATGTTAGACTAAAAGGATTCCACCCAATGCCTTATCTGCTACCCAAGAGAGCCACTTGCTCCTCACACTGTTATATAGATCAATTCTAGTAGGAGAACGAAAAAGCAAACTATGCCAATTCTTTCACAACCCAGGGCTATTTCTTGACTACTTATTTTGTGTGCTTCTATTTCCATTTGTGCACATGGAGAACGGATTCTGTGACTCTTTCATTATGAGCACAAATCACCAGTATTAATGCCATAGATGTGGAAAAGACCACATGATGTATGGATTGCATGCTTGCCCTTCATGTGTTTTAATCATGTGCATAATCAGCCTTTGCAGAGGCGGAAAGGTTGCACATATTAAAATAAGCAAAATTGTTACCATGTCAAGGATATGGGGGACTTGTAGCCCTCCACATATTGTTGGACTCCAAATCCAGCCAGCATAGTTAGTGATGATAAGAGCTGTAATCCCAACACCTTCTGAAGGGTCACAGATTGTCCAACTCCCTCTTCAGTGGCATCTGTTTCCTGCCAGTTCTGGTAAGGCAGGTTCAGGCACAACGAGAGTTTAAAGGAAGAAAGAAATTATCTCACTCTATTTCTCTTCTGTACTGGATTAGTAAAGATTTGTGTGCACTCTTTACATGTGTTCAGGCTTTATTATGTGAGGAAAAATGGTTTGAATTGGCAATTTTACGGACCTCACCTGTGAAATTCAACCTATTATTGTTGTATAAAAACATAATTCACATATGAATTAGAGGGCCATTTACATTTAAGTTAAATACATAAGAGTCTATTTTCTTTCCAACAAGCATGGCAATTATGTGACTCACTGGTTATCTAATAAAGTAATTAACATTTGCCAGCCTCTGAAGCCTCTGAAACACTGTCTTAAAAGATTTGTTTGAAAACTTGCCTTGTCTCAGCTGTCATTTTTAACATGATGGAAATAATTATCTGGAATAAGGTTAGACAGCTTTAAAATAATTTGAGTTTCAAAGGTTTTGGAGCTATAACTGAATATCGTAATGTTAAGGCAAAAAATTAAAGTTACTGTTGAACATCCTGTATAGAAAAATATATATTTACTTTATGCTGTTGCACACGCTCTCCCTTTCACTCTGCAACAGGCCGTCTTCTGCAAAACTCTTTTACACAACGTGACTTAAACCAGCACAATATTCGGTACATCTTAAATCCTACCACTGAGGTAACTTCAGATACCTTTGAATTTGAAGCTTCAGACAAAGCAGGCAACACAATAGTCCCAGAAATGTAAGTATGAATATGCTTAATAAGAAAATGTTTACTTACTTACTTACTCCCATCTTTCCTTCAAGCAGCTCATGTGGTGTACTCTATTCTTTCCCCTGCCCCACAAGCTATGAAAAGATGGACACTTCATAGCTTGCATGGGGTTTAACACTGCATGGAAAAATGGTTCAAGGGACATACAACTCTGAATATTAGCATTGTACTAAAAGGAACTGGTTGATTCTGTGGTCTGCTCCATTGAGAAAATTTAGTGCCTTTGGTTTGTGGTCCCCCCCCCCATAGGATTCAGATCATATTTCAATATAAATCTAGGGAAGTGACGTGAAAAGTGTTATAAAGTATTTTGTGCCCTTTTGTTCCTTATTCCAGCAAGAGGCCAGACTGTGGTAAGTGCTGCTCATATTTATTTTATCTGGGCTGGTGTGTGTGTGACATGGAGTAGTGTGAGAAACTACAGATATGAAGTGACAACAAAGTTCACCAATCCTATACGTAGTAGAACTGGTGAAGGAAAGAACTGCAAGAAAGAAAGAAAGAAAGAAAGAAAGAAAGAAAGAAAGAAAGAAAGAAAGAAAGATACACCACCCAGCCTGTTTCCCATTCCACCGTCATTTTGGGTACTTCCAGGCTTAATATCGTAAATGCATAATTTGAATACTGGAAACAGGGCATTGGCAGAGTCCCTCCCTCTTACCCAAATATTGGATTTTTCATGGAAAAGCTAAATCTGGATTAAGTGGTTGGAGAGGAAATACAGCCTGGCATATCAGGTCTCAACAATGGAATGAGGGGTACCTGTCTGAAATACCCAGAACTGGAGGAATGGGTCTGAGAATCCTAGCTATAGCAAGGAATAGCAGAGTGGGAAAGCGGAACAAGTTTGAGCTTCCTCCACCTGCTCATATGATACTATTTGCTTACAATGCTCTGCTGGAGGCTGTGCTAGGTGGGAGCATATGCAAGTCTTCTTGACAATAATACCTCTTATTAGGGGGAGCATCATGTGTGAGCTGTCTCTATCAGAATGTCTAGATGAATTAATTTTAATTAATTGCAACTTTTGGATGTATTCTTTTGCTGCAGTGCAGATGTAGCACAGTAAGTGCTACAGTTCAGAACAGGCCTTTTTTTGTCTAATCAGTTGGTAAGGAGTGGTCGGCAGAGGATATGTAGTCTGTGTCACAGAGGTTCTCCCTGCAGTGAGGGCAAAACAATCTTTACCAGGGACATTTCAAAAGCTCACAATTCTGCAGTACAATATGCAGCCAGGAGCCTTAGAAAATACTGCCTGGGCCTGCCCTTTATCCCACTCTCCTCCCATTTGCAACCCAATACATTTTAACTTCTCTGTTGCTCAAAAAATCATTGCTGCAGAACAATGATTTTAAATCCTTGCAAGGTACAGTTTTACTGCTTCTAAAGCAACTCAGAAATGACTATGAAGCTGTACATCATGTGGACAGAACACACTTTGCATTATGAAATGAAGCCTGGAAGCCAAACTTTTCAGGCTGTTTGTTGCTTGCCTCTGTTGTTATTTATTAAAGTCTCAAAGAATAAGTAAACCATTACCATGGCGTCTTAAATCTGCACTTGTTTATATATCAGTGGGTGAATATATGATGGAAGAAATTCAGAGAGAGGAATGCATAAATACTGAAAATAAATAAAGAGCTCCACGGCCCTAGGAGGAAGGAAATAGCTCAAGCACCTAAAAAGATGTTTTAGGTCCTTAAAACATAACCCCACTTCTTATATCCCCAATGGATCACTCTGCTCTGCAGGAGAAGGCATTCTTCATATACCAACATGTCAAGAACTCTGTCTTTAGTGTGGTCATCTCTGTTGTCTTTTCAGCAGCTATTGAAGACCTTCCTATTCCCCCCAGGCTTTTGAGCAGAGATTTAATAAAATAATAATAATAAAAAAAATCTCAGTCTATATCTGAAATTGATTTCATGGTTTTTTATAAGCAAAATGTTTCATTATTTAAATATTTCCAGGTCACACTTTTCATAAAATATATAGCAAGGCAGCATACAACACGCAAAATTAGAGCAACTTTGAGAAAATGTCAATAAAAGTTTCTTGAGGGGGCAGGGAGGAAGGAAGACACATTTCAAAGGCCTATCTGGATCACACTTCAGTATGTTTTTGTTGGTAGTGATGTTTTATGATATCCTATGATATTTCATAGGAAGCCATTCATGAATTGGAGTGAAATGAAATGAATGAAATGCACCATTTAGGCAGAATCACACTGGAAACATAACAGCACCTGATTTTCTCCTGAGACATTGGAACTGGTCTGTAGTCTCAGGGAGGCAGGGACTTTCAAGCTGCTGCCAAGGGGTGACATCATGTAGGTTTTTGTTTTTGAACAGTACTTCAGAGTCAAAAAGTTATGGTGTTTGCCTTATTTTAATTACTTTAATAAGAGGAATACCGTATTTTTCTGTGTATAAGACTAGGTTTCCCCCCCTAAAAAGGAATGTCAAAAATTTGGGGGTGTCTTATACATGGATACATCTCTCCCCATTTTCTTAAATTGGAGTCCCCCCAAATAGGGGGCGTCTTATACATGGGGGCGTCTTATAGATGGAAAAATACGGTATGTTGTATGTTAACAGGGTGGAATGAGCTGCTGAGAATCATGCTCCACAGCAAAGGCTAAGGAATCAGGGGGAAGGGTGTAAGATGAAGTAGGATATAAATCTCATTTAAAAATTAGCAATTGTTTAAAAAGCAACCATTAAAACGTAAACATTATAAAAGATCACACACCTATTGTTGCAAGGAAAACATCGCAGCAGCAGTCCTTTTTGTAAAATCAGCCAGTTCCTGTTGACAAGAATCTTCTGCTGAAAGGAGGACAACCAGGAGGGAGCCAGTCTAGGCAGGGAGTCCCAAATTCTGGGAGAAGCCACCAATAAGACCCTTTCCCATGTACCTACAAAGTACACCTGTGAGGGTCGCAGAACCAAAAGAAGGGCCTCCCCGGAAGATTCAGAGCCTGGGCAAATTCATATGAGGGAATATGGTCTTTGAAGTTTGCACTTCTCTGAATTTCACAATATAAGTTTAAAATGCATATATTAGTTAAAATAGCATGCAAAATTCATTATATAAGGGGAAATTTGCTTTGCAAAAATATGTATACTAGACAACATTATATACAAAGATGTATATATGAAAAGAAATGCAAACTGAAACGCTGCTGAATTTTCACAAGGACTTGTTTTTTTGTTTTGAGGTTGTATACGCTTCATATCTTTGCAGGAAGGTCTTGAGTTTGGAAAGAAGTGTCCATCTTTTCATAGCTTGTGGGGTGGGGGAAAGAACAGAGTACACCACATTGAGCTGTTTGTCGGAGAGATGGGAACTATTGACAATCCTTAGCAATCCTCAGCACAAACTAGAATACATTTTAAGAAATATGATAGCTATAGAGAAAATGTCCATGGCTTTCCCTTGAGAATGCACTCCGTTCTAGCAATTTAGAGCCATGGGTATATTCTTCACATCACTTTAAGCCGATAAGTTATCCCATAACACACTTTTGACTATCCATTTATACACATGTTTAATGCAGTAAAGAAGTAGTAAGAGTATGAATGTTTGTTTTTCTAATTGCTTACTCCATGGGTGACAGGGAGATTCAAATCTATTTTATGTTGAATCTATAAGTTCAAGCTCTGGAGTCTAGACTAATTTTGAAGTAATACATTTTGAGGGCCATGCTCCCCCAAAATGTTTAAGGAAACAGTATAATGCAGGTAAGTGTTACGGGCACGACTATATGCATGCTGGCTTCAGTAATTCCATGTCTCTGGGAAGATAGCTTTATGAGGCGGCAAAGCTTTTTTATTCTTCCAACATTCAATGCTAACGTCAGTTCCTACACACATTTCTACAAGTAGTAAATGGGATTCATTATTCTTTACTGTGCCTTTAATTACAGCAACAGAGTTCATTGTGGCTCCAATATAATGTTTTCCTTTTAATACTGTTTCACCATCAGTCTTGAAATAAAATGGTCCCGTATAGAACTGGCAGAAACATGCTATCGAGTCTGTGAAAACATTAGGTCTCTTCCTATTAAGCTTCAACGAACAGGAGAGAGCGCAGAGCCCTCATTTGTTGGAATAAAGGTAAGAAAAGAGTCCCTAAAACTTTTTTTTAATGTTCTATTAAGAACATTTCATCTGTTCGGTAAGAAGGCTGCTTAATTGTGTGTTGTTATTTTTAAGGTCCAAGAAGTATCAGCAAGAGTTGGCTTGGACTTCAAACACAGTACAGCGAGATTAGTGCAGTTTGATCCTGGTAAGGCAATAATTTTAAACTTGTCTATTATGGCTTTTTACATTGAGAATTGCATCCAACATTGTGAGTGGTAGGTTGTACAACAGATCTTTCCCATTACCTCTTTTTTTCTGCATTCCCTTCAGAGGGTCTGGGAGGAAAAGCCAGGTGGTCTTGGGAACCTACTAAGCATTGTGGCTGTGTTATAAAATCCTGAAGTGTGTTAGGGAACCATTCCAAAACAGGTGGAGAAATATTGTGCCAGTGGAGACGAACCCTGCCAGGTAACAGCAAGAAAAATTATGATGTCTAGTTGGCTGTCAACCATGTTCAATTAAGGATTGGCTGCTGAAATCAAAGTTTGCTCATATTCTTCAGCAACCCATCCTCCCCAAAGTCTCACAACTACTGGTGTATCTGAGCAAAAGATGTGTGAAATGAAAGATGGTCTGGTGGGCATGAGTGGAACCATCTTGGTTACCTTCTGTGATCAATGGAATGTTATATTCATTTAGCCTTCTAGCTTCCATTTGTTTGAAACCCCAGGTTAGAAGAAAGTCACTAATGTTATTCTTTTTGTTCTTCTGATGTGGGTCATTTCTGCTGCCTTTTGTGATTTGCTCAAAGTGCAATCCAATGCATGTCTACCGAGAATTAATTCTTCTTGAGTTCAGTGGGGTTTACTGCCAGGTAAGTGGGTATAGGGCTGCAACCTTAGCTGATATGATCAACTCCAGATCATGCAGAATTAGGAGATGAGGCTTGCTAAGGCTCTTGCAAGGCATTGATAGTTGAATAGTTGAATTAGCATTGGAAATTTCATTTTCAATTGTGGTCCACTTGATTTATTGTGAATAAAGGCATGAAAGCAGCCAAAAGATTTAGGGTAATTCTGTAGTGACCAACGAGACATTTGCAAGCTTCTATCAGGAGAACAGGCAATCCTTCTTAGCACTGGACTCAGGAAAACAATTGGGTGAGCCAATAAGCTCTCTGTAGGGAGCTCTCAGGTGTGCTCAAACTCAGCACTGAAAAAGGAAGTGGGGGAGTCTCTTCTGTTACTTTTTAAAACTAGCTTAAATGTTGCACATGACAACATATTCTAAATTAGTTGCATCGTGATCGCAATAAATGTTGCATGTAAAACACATTTTAGTTAATATCTCGTCACGTTTTCTTAATTCTAAGAACCTCAAAGAAGAGAATATTGTTACAACATAAAGACTTTTCATTTCATTTTGTTGAGGGGAGGAGTTTTGTGACTAATGTAGCATGCTGTACCAATGTAAGTTTTTTTGGTCCTAAGCTCACCCGATTTTGTTCCTAACATAAAATTTCTTGTCATTTCACCAAATGAGAAAGCAAAACTATCACTACAATAAAGAGTTATTAACCTCTTCTCTATTTTCTTAGAGAGGTCTGAACTTTAGGAAAAATGGGAAATTCTGAGTCACCTTTCATGTCACGCTTCTGGCTGTTTTACTCATGTGTAAAATGCCCTTTTGAAAACCTGCTGCCAGATAATGAAACTTTGGGAAATTATCTTCAACATGATATAGAACATGGTAACTATATATGAAGATGAAAAATGAGTCTGTAGGTTGACATTTTCATAGTGCTGCTGGAAGCCACGCTTCTAAGTGTTCTACAGCTGATACGCAAATCATCCCATGTGCCAGAATCCAATTTTATTGGCTTTGTATAATAGTTACCACACTAGCTTAACTTTATTGCTTATTTACAGAAAAAACATTGTTTTTTCCATGGAATCTGTTGGCTAATTGCTATGTTACTTCACAGGAAAGGGTGTAATTAGACACTTACTAGTGTTACTGTTACCAAGTTAGCACTTGACAACTGTGTAATTTCTTGACACCACCATTTTATAGATTGTTAGGTGGGCCTCACTGCCTCCACCATTAGCTGATTTTTAACTTTTCACCTTGCTGGCACAGGCTGCTCAGAAGACAGGTGTGTGTTTCTGTCTATTTCATCAGTGATACTTTTGGCCTAGAGCAGGCTTTAGCACTATTAATTAAATTGGCATTTGAATGAGGAAGATTTTTCCTCTAGTGTCATTAACACCTCAATCTAAAATTCTTTGGCCATGATCCACAAATACTCAAGCACAAGAACTTGTGTGAACATCCAGGTTTGTCTTTCCTTTTATTACCTCAGAATTCTTTTTAAGGGGGGCTGGCACGTGGAAGTGCTATGGGGGAGCTATGGGGAGAAGCCTGGATATTTCCACGTGCCTTATTAATCTCTGTGGGTCAGACCCACTAGATGGACATAAGATGGCTGCAGTGAAATATATTTATCTATTCCAGTCCTAGGAGCAAACTCCTAGGGGCTGAGGTCCCTTTGGCCCTCCAATAAAATATTTGAGGGGGCTGGACCCCCCAAAGTTGATGGACATTGCCATTCAAATGGTGTGTGTGTGAATGATTATGTGGGGGACCTTACTTGCCCCGCATATTTTATTCAAGTTGGCACCCCCTGATTCCACTTATTTATAAGACTGTGGAGATGCCTCTCTGACACGAGTATTACTGCAGCTTACCTGTATGCTGATGAGAGCAGGGGAGCAGCCGAGGCAGGGCTGTGTGAATGTACAAAGGGAGCCAATCCGGTGCTCCTGTCTGTGTATGCATTCAGCCTCACACCCACATAAGCCAGTGTCACTGGTATAGGGAAGCTGGTTTTGCAGATCTGCACCTCCACACTGGTCACTACTGTTGTACTCTGAAAGTGAGAACATAGCACAGGAATAGCTAACATCATGCCTTCCATAATTTATTGAACTACAGACCCCATCATTCTTGACCATTGGCCATCCTGGTGGGATTTGTAGTCTAGCAACATTTGAAGGGCTACCCCTGGTTTAGCAATACACCCCTTTTTCTTGCCAGATATGAGTGTACAGGAGAGAGACTTCCTCCTTAGAGTTCTCTTTCTTTCAGATGTTTGTCTCTGCCCATAACAATGCCGAAAACCTTTCTTAATGAGTTTGCTTTCAAATATAATTTCATCATTGTTAGAGGATTCAGGTTACTCTTCTCTATTTACTGTAAGGAAAGGAATATATATTCTGCAGTGCTTGGTGCTACAAAATCCTGATAGGTCTTAAGCATGTGGTTAAGTACTTTGTTGAACGGGAGCCCAGGGTAGGAATAAAACTTCATCTGGATCCTGAAATCCTAAAATTGCTCCCGCTGTACTTGCCTGATTCTATTCAGTGGGACTGGTGCCAGCATTGTGCTTTGAAAATTAGGCTATAAGGCTCCTTTGTGGCACTAGCATATTAGAACATGGGTTTAAGGATATATCTCAAAATCATCTGCTGGGTTTGCATGCTGTTTCCCATAACGTGGTCGGCTCCTGGTCTGAAAATCCTGGAGCTCCAGGTGTAGAAATGTGTTTGTGGGACCAGGATGAAGGAACAAGGAAGGGCAGGCAGGGGTGGAATGTAAGAATCTGGGCACCCTTGATATTCAGAAGTCTTCTTGGCTCTCCTTTTCTGCCAAGTTACTGCCAATAAGAATTGAATTAGATGCTCTCTTATGGCTTTTTCATTCATAAGTCCATGCTCAACACTTTCACCCAAAATACAGGATTATATGAAAATGATCTGATTGGGAAAATGTCTGCTTAACCTTGGTAAATGTAAGAAAAATAAACAAATCACTGCTAGCACTGTAGATTTTGAAGGTTGCTGAAACCCTTAATATTCCTTGAGATAATAGCCCATAATTGCTTCATGAGAAAGTAAGCTGTGACTTTTGGCTTCTAATTGTGTAAAGTTGGGGTTGATGTGGCAGGAAGCAGGTGCCTGGTGGATGTGAAAGGAGGAAGAACTAGGCCTTGTACTGTTAATGAGCCAGCATATGCTACTCCTTGTTTGAAAACCTGAAAAAGAAGACACCAAAGAGATAGCTCTTTGGTAGACACTTCCTAGACTTGATGCATTCTTCTGTTGAGGCTTTACAGTGGTAACCCTGCAATTTTTGGTGGTGGAAACAGTTCATGAACAGAGCAAGTGTCTACGGCCACAACCTATAGTTGGCTCGGAAGTGTTGCTGCAGAATCTGACAGTTCTTATGTGCCTATGGTAAAACAATACAAAAGCTACTTTCAAATGTAACATAGGACTTGTAGATTTAGATCTTATGCTTTTGATAGGTGTTTCCTTCAAGATCTGGAATATCCTGATTCAGGATGATGGCCTTGAAGAGAACAACGAAGTGTTTAAAATAACACTGAACAAGCCTAAAAATGCAATACTGGGACGCAAGAGGGAACTGACTGTTGAAATTCTCGATCCAAAGGCTGGTAAGACAAGTTGTTGAATACATCTTCAGGAAGAACCAACCTAGTCCTTGCCTTTCTGGTCCATCCAATTTCCAAGCGCCACTTTAGTGTGCTGAGGGTTTCTTCTCATTTCAGTCCTCTGATCAGCATCTTTCAGGATAGCCAGTGAGATTATTATAAATTGAGGTGGGAAACATTCACCCCGAGGGCCACATTTCCTTCTTAGGCAGAGACTTTCAACCTGCTTGGGTCCACAGCTCCCTTGACCAACTCCATTATTTCTGCGGCACCCCTGTGGGGCTCAGGAGCCCAGTTATGTCCCCCCTTGTCTGCAGAGCTGGCAGGCCCTCAGCCCTTTTTGAACACCCTCCCTTGTGGAATGTTCCCTCAGCCTCCTCTCCTCTCCCCTCTCCTTGGGAGTCCTCTGGGCAGCCATTGCTGCCACCCCTGGTCTCTGAGCTGTCCCCTCTGCCCCCCAAAGAAGTGCCTCCTCACACTGCCCCACAGGGGCCTGGGAAGCACCCCCTGGCCAGCCTCAGATGCACCATTCACCTGCTGAACTTGTAGCCAGGGGTGCTGCAACAAACAGCTGTACTAGCTTTTGCATAAGTTTTCACTGCCAGTTTTTCTTCTTCACTCGGGCTTTGGACTGAATGTTCCTACTTGTATCTTGCATTTTGTACTTGTTTGGTTTGAAACCGTTTCACTGCTGTGAATTTTAATTTGTGTAGTGTGTGTTTTTTTAACCTGTTTTGCTTTGGTAGGCATATTGCCTCAGAAGTGGCATATAAACCAAAGAAGCAGATAAAATAAACAAATAGGGGAGGAAAAAAAGAATGTTTGTAACTGAATTTTTAAAAAAGCTTTTCATCCAAAGTTTGCATGTTCCTGTCTCAACTCATTTCTTTTATACAGCTGTGATAGAATTTTGAAACCTTAAACTTCATTTAGAGTTTCCCCTTCTTCCTGCAGCTGCTCTTCTGCTGAATCAACTTTTACTTAAACAATCCTTGACATTTTTCAATTTCTTAAAAAATAAATAAAAAAGTCTTCCTGCTAGAGGCAGTCTGCACCTTCAATTACAGCCCGGGTAACAATTATTCTCCTTTGGCTTCAAACCACCTGAGTTCCCTCCTTAAAGCCACTTCCCTTCCTCTTCTCTCTCCTCCTCCTTCTGGCCCCATATGTTTGTTTTCAGCTGAAATTTCTTGAAGGCTGCTGATCCAGGTGTTTCTGTTAATACAGATCACTTATAATTGAATCAAGAAGAAAGAGCAACACAGCACCAGGCCTCCGACTCTCAAGATGCCTGAGGTCAAAACATGTTCTGGGACAGCACTACCTTTCTTTAAAATGTCTGTCTTCCTTTTTATACTTTCAGCTGCTGGTCACCATTATCTTTAGCTGAATTATAATGCCTTAAGAGTTTGCCACGCAGGCTAAGAAGAAGCGGGCAGTATATTTCATGTTTGGATATATAAATTCTCATGCTGAGATGAACTACCCACTGTTTTACTCTAGGAGACCCAGAGCGCCTGGTAATTCTGATGCTAAACCAAATTTCCAGCTGCCAGAAACAAAGGCATGGACGGACCCAATTTTGGGTCAAGAGTGACACCGTGTGGCCAACAGATTCCCTTCCCTATTCCTTTCTTGCGTGCACACTGGAACCACTTTCTTCAGTTGTCTTCCAGATTTTATATTTATGCATTTCTTTCACGTTGCCTGATTTAAAAAAGAGAAAAGAAAAGAAAAGAAACTCTTGACAGTGTAGATTTTTTGCATGACCCCTTCAATCCTAATCTTCAGCAACCTTCTTGGTCTGCCCTTGAAGGTTCCTAAAGTGAAAATTGTAACCCGAGCTGACGTTGCAGTGGTGAATTTGAAAGCAAGACACTGTCCTGGCACAAAAAGCAGCACTGTTGTTTTGGGCTTTTGTCTGCAGCATCTGGCTTTGGGCCCTTTCAGAAATGAGTTCTCTGAAGATTAAGCTGAGATTGCAAAATTAATCTCATTTGTGGTTTATTTTAGATTTTGACCTTGAATTGCAAAGATTCAAAGACCACCATGTAGCAGCCTCTCAAGGGGTGCTGTTGTGGGGTCTCAGCTCCTAAGTTTTCCACTCTTAAAATTTATTATCCAAAGAAAAGAAATCACTTGCAGAGGCTTCAGGGCCTTTCATTTTCCTCACAGTTCAGCTCTCCTGTAACACAAAACACAAAACCCTTCAGTCATTAATTTTGCTCGCTTGTGCTTCTAAACTCTGCTTTCCTCCTTGTTCATAATTAATTATTAGGCGACTGTGATTCTTCCACAACATTCCAAGATGGAGGCACTCAAAAAATGTTGGAAAGGACTAGTAGGATTTCAGGAAGTCTGCTGTCTGCTGGCCGTTCCCATAAAGCAAGCGAAAGAGCAGATGTCCTTCGTGAAGAACATCTGAACAATAAGAATCTTCCCCATAATCATCATGGTTCTTTGGCCAGAGGAGATATTCCACAGACAGGACACCTGCCTGATCATGTAAAGATGGATTTCCAAGTTCTTGCTGATTCTAAGCATCAAGCAGCTCAACACAATCCTCCAATGGTATGTACAGCTAATATCTAAATATATACAAGTGTAGCAATGACTTATGTAAGCTGGAAGCAAGTAAGCTGTAGGATAGTTATAGGTGTCTGTATTCTTGAATTTTATTAGCTGAAGGGCAGGAGTTATTTACAGTCCAGTCCTATACCTGCTGACTCAAATGGAAGCTCCATTCAGTTCAGTGGGACTTACTTCTAGGTAACTGAGAATAGGATTTCAGCCACAGTCTACTTTAGTAAATGTACAAATCTGGAAACCTGATTTTAGGCTCTTGCTAGATCCAAAGTGATATAGCCCCATTGATTTAAGTGGGCCTCTTTTAATTTACACCAGCGAACAATGGAGCCAAATACATTTCCTCTACATTTTTCTTTTTCAGAAGCAAAACGGCCAGGATAATGATCCTTCAGTAGGAACAAATGTTATTACATAGCCTTCTCTACTACACGAGGGCAAAGAACGAAAAGATATCCTATTAATAACACTCCGTTTTCCTGCTGATGTTGCAAAATAGGCCACCATAAAATTATGAATATCATTGCCTTTCTGGACGAATTAACTACTTAGAAAAGTTGTAATGGGGGAACATGGAAGGATCTGCTAATGAAAGAGCGGAATGAAAAGGACGTACTCGGTGTTGTCCACTGCACGTACCTGCCAAAGTGGAGCCATTCCCTCCAGTATATATGATTAGTAATTACATTTTATGACTAAAAATTTACCAATGCTCTTAATGTTCTAAAAAATGTCATTAAGAGCCATGCCAACCCAAGAAAATATTTGTAGCCCAAGAGGCTGCTTCACATTTATCTGAGATGTCACTAAACCAGAGATCAGGATAGGCAGGGCTGCAGGTTCGCAAATCATCCATTTATCTCTTTGCACAGGGAAAATGAGGCAGCAGGGAGAGGAGGTACCATAAAGCACCATTTTGTTCCCCTTTTTCTGCTGCTTTTCACTGCTTGTTTCCCTGCTCTATTACGTCACTGACGCCTTCTTCCATGTGACACAATCCTAGCCAATCAGAGCCCAGACATTATGTAGTTAGCATGATGACACCATGAATCAATCCAAAGCAGCTATGTGACCAGTTTATGAAGCTAATTCAATTTTACCAGAATGCTTTCCTCCCTATGAACAGACTTTGTGATAATGTCATGACCAGAGCAGGGCTGCAGCTGCATTGTTATGAATATAGCCTATGGCCTGGAAGATTGCCAATATGGGACAGCACTTTTCAGAGGTGCTGAAAATGTTTGAGCTCCTTCCTCTAGCTCAGCCTAAAGCACAATGTTTGTATGTTTTTCACCTGCAAGGTCTTCTCAAAGCTAGCAACAAGCTGAAATGTTGAAGCAATACCTGTCTCCAAGGCCCTTGTGTCACAGTCATTACGTTCCCTCCAAACCTACTGATTAGGTAACAGTTTTGCACTTGACACTTACAAGCTCTGGCGGTCCTATATTGAACTGAACAAGGATTAAGCACAACCCTCAATCATGTGTAAGGGGGGGAAAATGTAAATTGAGTGGTCAATATGCACCATAATTGGCCATTGTGCACATTCACCATTCACCTCATGGAGAATGTACATGCAGTGTATCCATGTGCACATTTCTTCATCAGTATATATGGAGAATGTGCCCATATGGACTGAATTTTTTTACATTCTCTGGCTATTATGCATAATCTCCAACAGGCCTTTGGGGCATTTGCTTAACTTACATTTCCCATGGCATACTGTATATACTGAAGTGCAGGGTTATGAAATATCCCTGCATAAATAAGCAGCACAATGCCACAGAAAAGTGAAGCTACTTGGCCAAAACATATTAACTTGTTGGGTCAAAAACTGAACCCAGGTCCAGAATTCCAGGCCATGCCGAAACTTTTACAATAATTGTTCAGCAGCAGTTCTTAGTGTTGGTGAAGTGGAATCCAGAGTTCCCAGCTGCCATATACATAGAGTTGTCCTTGGGGGCAGCAGGGGGAATCGGGAGGGAGATGTACTTGCTCTTTATTTTTTCTTGATCATTTTCAGTACCAAGGAATTACACCAACAGGAGCTGGTGGACAATTCATCTTGCCATCTGCCGTCAGGGCAGCTGCTAGAGAGCCTGTGCCTGTTTTACCTTTTCACCTACAACACCAAAGTGACCTTCCTCAGAGAGATTTGGGCATGAAGAATGAACCTGTCCCATTACAGCCGAGTACAAAGCAGGTAGAATTAGCTTCCCAGGTTGTACGGCAGCAGGCGGGGATGGAATCCTGGGTGACAAGGGAAGGAGAGAGATATATTCTCTAGAGTGCAGTGCATATTATAAATCATTATATTCCTTGCTATATTTGAAATTATATAAAGGCTATAAATCCACAGCAGGATGTTTTCAGGGCAATCTGATGGTAGTGCCTTGGAGTCTCCCAACTAATTTTATTGCCTCTGCTAGAGACAAAGGATGGATTGTCAATTAATCAGAACCCACTTTTTAATCCGCAATCAAGGTTTTCTTTTAACTACAGTGCGGTATCGATTTAATGCTTCAAGAACTGATTTCATGTCCTGTTCCTCCTGCCCTGAACTTTAATAACACTCATAGAAATACTTGTGTGAGTATGCAACAGGAATAAGGAACTTCCCTTCTGCTTCAGATGCAAACTGAAACGATTCCTTATTGCCATTTAGTTGGATAGCGTATAAGGTAAAGGGACTCCTGACCATTAGGTCCAGTCGTGACCGACTCTGGAGTTGCGGCACTCATCTCGCTTTATTGGCCGAGAGAGCTGGCGTATATTATAAAGGTAATATTATGGTCATGTGGCCAGCATGACTAAGCCACTTCTGGTGAACCAGAGCAGTGCACGGAAACGCTGTTTACCTTCCTGCCGGAGTGGTACCTATTTATCTACTTGCACTTTGATGTGCTTTCGAACTGCTAGGTTGGCAGGAGCAGGGACCAAGCAACGGGCGCTCACCCTGTCGCAGGGATTCGAACCGCCCACCTTCTGATCGGCAAGTCCTAGGCTCTGTGGTTTAACCCACAGCGCCACCCGCGTCCCTTGGATAGTGTATAGGCTTGAATTAAAATAGGTCATTGCAAAAGTAGATTTAAGATCCTGTGACATGCCCAAGGCTACTTTTGAGCTTTGTGGCTGGCCAGAAATTTAGCCTTGCAGGTCCCCACATTTGAACATGACTGCATCATGTTGACTTTCAATTGTAGCCTACTTAACTACTAGATTTTGCTAGAGTTGCTTGGGACTTGTTAGCACCTTCATTGTTCTGCTTCAAAGACCAACTAAGAGCACATTTGTACGAGTCTTTTGTAGGTCACGTTAGGGATGAGTGGTACACAATTGGACTTGACATTTCTGTGGACATCTATGGTATCTGCAAATCCAGGTCTGGTGTCTCGGGGTCAGGGTAGCCAACAAGTCCTATTAGACTCCAAATCCCATCATCTCTAATCATAATCCATTCTGGCTGGGGTTCATGAAAATTGTAGCCCATCAACACCTGAGGGGCACCGCAATGGCTACCCCTTGAGCAATATTTTTCCTCTTTTGCTCGGGAGGCAGCTTCTGGGCAGACCTCTTTTCTACCCTCAACTCCCTAAATGAAAACTTGTCTCTCAAATGCTGTTATGGGACAATTGCATACTCAGCTCCCTACCAATCAGATCAAAATGTAGCTTGATTATTATAACAGAGATGGGATATTAATTAGGATTTCTAGTCCTGGTATCCTGACTATAAAAATTTAACAAGCTGTCAGAACTGAGTGCAGCTTTTATCCACACCATTTCACAACTTTAAAAGCTTGTTTAAGGTTTAAAAGAATCTTAACCCTCCAGTTCACTCATTCCTACTTATAAATGGCTCTATTAAATCAAAATCTCATGAGGAAGAGAGCAGCACTGAATCAAATTAAAGCCAAAAGTTCCCATATCTTTATCGCCAAATGCTTATGAACAATTGCAACCCAAAAGCTAAGAAATATCACATCACTACATCTGCATTTCTGCTCAGTGTTAGGCTCCTTATTCAATAAGATTTAGGCAATCTTTAAGCCCAAATGAGAATTTCAACTGTGCCGCCCAATCCTTGTTCACTTGGAAGCAAGTACAACTGAGTTTAATGGGTCTGCTTTCAAATAAATCCACAAAGGATGCTGCAACTATGGACCAAACTAGACAATACATGGGAGAGCTATGACTCAGCCATACTGTTTTTAATTTAATTATAGCCCAAAAATGTGATCACAGCAATGGTAGGGCAGGAGGTGCTTGATCCTTTCCCTGTAAACACCCCCCAGCAAAATCACCCCCTTATTTGCTTTTCTCCCTTTAGGGAAAAAATGCAGGGGCTCACAGGAAAAATAGCTGAAGAGATTGTGATCGGGAGATGTTGCTGAACTGATCAAGTCTGTCCCCTATACAGCTGAGGTCAATGAAACTAACTGGGTAAAGAGTGGGGTAGATCTCACTCTGGAGCTGACTGAGCTCATAATCAGGCCTAACACACAGCTGTGAGGGAAATAAAGAGAGCCTACTTCACTGCCTCAGTTGCATCCTTGAGGAACTGCCCAGCAAAGTTGTTCCCTACAGTCCAGAGATTGGTTATTCCTGACCTCTGGAGTACATGGTAACCAAATGGATAAATGCTTTGAGGAGGAAGTTAGTTGGCTCCACAGTGACTTAGACCCTGCTACTGCAGTAGTGCTAGCTGAGGTATCCAATGCAATGTTAAGCCAATGTTGTGGGACCAGCTCCAGTTAATGTGACCTGATGATAGGGACAGGTTACTTGCAGTGATGCACCCAGCCAACAACTCAGTAGATGTTTGCCTATCCTGTCATATCTATCTACTCAGCTTCCCACCCATATGTTTTTTATTGTTATTGTTCTTTGTATGATTCTTGTAAACCACTCTGCTATTTTTCTTTTATGAAAAGTGGTTTATAAATATGTTTATAAAAGAATGAAAATAAAACATCTCAATGTGCTGTCTCTCCTTATGCACATGCACATCTAAATGTTGCATCTTTATTTCTCACTCAGACATGCCAGCCAACTTCTACTTTTCACACGTCTGTAAACTGCTTCCATACCTATCTTAAGAGGCATGTAATGGGAAGCATAATCTGAGAAGCCATATGTGCCCATTTATGCTCCTCAAAAGAGCAAGGGTATTTTTTTTGTGGGAGAGAGCTCAGGCATGAAGTTCATCAGCGATGTATAATCATACTGTTTTGGGTCTATTTTCCCCCTTCTTAGAGAACTAAATCCAGGAAGTGCCCTTCCAGTTGGACGCTCAGAGACAAGCACTGCTACATTTTGAGCTCCATTAGAAATGCATCCTGGGACAGTGCTGAAAAAGCCTGCAGGAAATGGTATGGGAATCTTCGAAAGAAAAGGGTTGTCACTGATCACTCATTTGTTGAGGTTTGGCCATCTGTGAATGGATTGGAGCACCAATGGTGACAGATCTTTTTTGGACTCAGGGCTGCAATGAGGGCCGCAGTAGTTGGCATCCCTCACAAAAAATTATTCTATTTAAAGAACATGTTTGGGAGTCTTGAGTGGGAGTGGTTACAAAAACATTTGGCCTCACAGAATTATATACAGTGGTACCTCCGTTTTCGAACATAATCCGTTCCAGAAGACCAATTGAGTTCTGAAACGTTTGAAAACTGAAAACTCAATATGGAAGCCTCAAAACGGAAAACTCAATACAGAGGCCATGTGGCACGTTCAACTTGTTTGAAAACCAAGCATTTACTTTCAGGTTTACGGCATTCGAGTTCCGAAACATTCGTCAACGGAGAAGTTCGAAAACCGAGGTACCACTGTATGGGCAAATGGGGTAGAGCTTTTGCATCCTAATATTGCAGCAGTGAACCTATAAGGAAAGTCAATAATAAGTGATCATTAGTATTTTTAACAAATATGAATACTTGAAGAAAACTTAGGAGGAACAAAATAATCTTTTGGCATCATAACATGGGACCCATGTGAGTACTAAAATAAAAAAATGGGGGCTCAAAACCCCATTGAAGCGCTAGATACTATTTTAGAGTATGTTTGCTGATACCTAACAGAGGTACAGAATGGGTCGGAATATTGGGATTACCAAAGGAATCAATCAAATACAACAGGACCACCAAAAGAACTGCTTTCTTTCACCACTGAACATAAGTCTATGGTGGAAAACATGCTTTCAAAGCAGGAAGATTCTGGCTTCATTCGTATTCCTGAGACCCTGGAGAGAATAGGCAAAAGTGGTCTAGTTGGACAATTAGTATGGCCTACTGTTAAGCAGTGTTTTTGTGTTGCTGCTGAAAAGAAACAAAGAAATCTGATTGAAAAACGTATTGGTATATCTCCCTAGGAACAGTAACACCATTTGATTAAAATCCAGGTTTAACACATTCTTATTTTATTTATTGAATTTATATGTCGCCCTATACCAGGCACCCCCAAACTTGGCCCTCCAGCTGTTTTGGGACTACAGTTCCCATCATCCCTGACCACTGGTTCTGTTAGCTAGGGATGATGGGAGTTGTAGTCCCAAAACAGCTGGAGGGCCGAGTTTGGGAATGCCTGCCCTATACCCTATAAGGGCCCCTCCAGATGTTGTTTTGTGTGTGTGCATGATTATTTGTGCTTATGATGGTATTGGGGCAGTAATATGTGATTCCCCTTTCATAACTCCAGTTACAGATAGGTAGCCGTGTTGGTCTGCCATAGTCATAACTGTTTGTGCCCATTCAGTCATAACTGTTTGTGCCCATTCAGGACAGACACACAACTTCATTTCTAATCAGTGCGTGTCCCGTAACCTCTTGCTGAAATCCTGTAAAATTTTATACTGCAAATGTTCTGGTAGGGCTTTTATGTTCCACTTTCTTGTGCCACTCCAGACCACAATAATGCAGTAACATTACACAGGAACCACAGAACAGCGTTAAAAAGCAGAGTGTTGTGCAATTTAAAAACATACCCAGCAAACCATTTCCAATGCAATGAAAATAATAACACAAAGTAATTTTCTTTTCCCATATGTGATGAGTCCCCCCCCCCGAAAGGCAGCCCACTATTTAATTGACTTTGTTTTAATCCACTTTCCTGAAGGTGTTGAGCTTTTTGCCCTATAACAGGCATCATAATATTCCGTGTAACTGGTTAAAAACCCCATGAGCATTTATGGTCTGTAGTTTTCATGCTTGCTGACAAACTGGAAATTGAAGTGGACAACAAGGGAATGGTTTAGTCACACTTGTTAATAAACTCCCCACTCCAGCATGAGGCTGGTCTGACCTTGCATTGAAAGCCTTTGAGGATAGTTATGAAAATAGTTCCACTAAACTGAAACAAAATATGTTGGCAAATCTGTTGCCCGGAAAGAACTGGAAGCAAATGAAGGCCTGAAACTGTATATTTCCGTAGTTAGAATGTTGTGCTGTTTACAATACCTCACAAGAACTGAAGAACATTTTTCTTGTTTTGTTTCCTTCAAATGTTTTCCATAAAGAGAAATATCTGTGAGGCTTTAACTTTTTTATTAGATTCAAGCAGGAAAGGGAGAGGATGTGAGGTTTAAAACAACAACTGGACACTGCTTTATTCCATCTCTTAAGAAAAAAATGCCTTAAGAAAAAGAGTAATAAGTGAAGTAAATTGAGGACTTCTAAAGAGGAGAGAAGGACTAATCATAATTGCTTGATGGATAAATTACAGCAATGTGGTCTACATTAAATTGAAAAGTAAAGAGCAAGAGCAAGAGCAAGCTGTTTGGGTTTCTTTTTTTGCTGGGAAATGCATTCACAGGAACAGTGCAACCCTAAGCAGGTCTATTCAGAAGTAAGTCTTGTTGAAATTCAATGGTGCTTAATCCCAGGTAAGCGGCGTAATGATTGCTGTCATGATATATATAAACAATGCAAAAATACCTTTTTCCAATGACTATTTAAAACGGGGGGGGGGACCTGTTTGGAAGGTTCAGGGTCCCTTTTAAAAATTCTCTTACACTTTCTCCACTAGAATAGCAACAGTACAGTGTAGTAGCTTAAAGTTGAACAATATTATAGTTTGTAATTCTAAGTGCATCAGGAATTATCATGCTACATTAGAGGGTTGGGAAAGTTAATTTTTTTGTACTATGAAGCATTGCCCATAAAGTCGAGATGATTCAGCAATGCCAGATACATTTCTTATGAATTGGAGTCATGTGGTCAGATCCGTCTGTCTATCTCCTGGAGATGACTAGAAAATCAACAGCAATTCTAAATTATGAAAGTGTATCACATTATCTTCCTTAGAATTCCAGTGAGAAAAATGCATTTTCAAATTAAAGTTAAAAGACTGGGCGAAAAAAACTTACACAAAGTGTAGTATAGCTTTTATGGAATAAGTTTTACAATCTGTGACCTTCAGAATTACAGAACATGTTGTCCTTCTGATGATTCCTGCAGAAGTAAGGCCTATTTGAATGATACGTTATGCAAATAAGATTCGTTATTAAAAAGCCATACTAACAAATGTTCTGCTCTCCAAAGGTCAAACAGGCCAAGGCACAAGATGAATGTATTTCCTTTCCTGTGACACGAGTGAAGATGGGATTGGAAATGTTATTCTCTACAATCAGCCACTTTAAACACATTTCAGTACCTTTTGATTGCATAACTAATCACACTGAAAATTAGTATCCCACACCTATCTCACTCTGGCGATTTTGCTCTAAAAGTCCCTAAGGTTATTTGATTTTATACAGTTTCAGAACATTGAATGACTGCTATAAAAGACCATACACATTCCTTGAATGAACTGAAGTGCCAGCCCAAGCCTATATTTTCTATTGTTTTCTCTTTTGTTTAAAGCTATGACAAGATAGCTCCCATTTGTCAGCGCCCGTGTAACATTGTTATCAGATTTCCCCACCCACCCTCAAACAAACCCAGTAGTGACTGGGTATCATTGTTATGCTTTGTTGTCTCATATACAGGTCCCAGGGCCATTTAGCCAGTGTTCATTCCCCAAGGGAGATGGCATGGCTTTGGAAATTTGCCAATAAGCAGCCATTTTGGATTGGTAAGTATGAAAAAAAAAACTATTCAGGATACCGTGGCATATGCCTTTGCTGTACTTCATTCAATAAATCTAAAAACTTGAGACATGGGAAACTTGTGCTTTCATCCTGTAAAGACGGTAGTGCTACAGATCTAGCAGACCATCATATTCGGTCACAAAATAACTTTATACATCTTTATTGAATCTTTGTACAGAAGCAGGGTGTTTTGATTTCACAACTAATCAAAAGGAAAAAAATTCTCCCCGGCTAAACCTGCCACTTCATTCCCTTTCAGATTTGGCAGCTGTTCAACTTCTCTTAAGGCTTATCCTATCCATGTTTACTTAGAATTAAATCCCATGGTATCAGCAGGACTTGTTCCCAAATGTATATGCACAAGATTTCCCCAAAGATTCCAGCTGTAATCCTATATGCACTTACCCATTGATTTTAATTGGACTTCCATCTGGGTGGATATGTATACCATTGATCTGTTGGTATTGCAGCAAACTGAGGTGATTTGGAATGCCATGCAAATACACTTTACTATATTGAATCTGACCAGTGCTCAATTCCATATAGCCCAGAGACCTTCCTTTTCTGACTGGCAATAGTTCCATCATTTCAGGCAGAGAATCTTTGACAGTCCTGTTATCTGAGATCATTTTAACTGGAAGGGCCAGGTATTGACCTTTGACCTTATGCATGTAAGGCTTGAGCTCTGTTTCTGAGCTAGATTTCATTTCTTTTCCTAACTAAAGTTGACCTATTTTTTAGGAAGCATGAATCTGCCACCAGCAGCGTGGTCATTTGCATCTGCTGTTGGGTAAAATAATGCTGAAATCAAAGAGTCTGTCCTATGAATAATTGTATTGATGGGGCTTAATACAATTCCTGTAGCATTGCTTTATAGGCAGTGAATTTCACAATTGCCGGGTCTCCAATTTCAGGATTAAACGAAGGTAAAACGGGCAGCTGGATGTGGAGTAATGGCCGACCAGTGACTTTCCATAACGTCAAAAGCAGGCCGCAACTAAGCAAGACTGCTGAACAGAAATGTGCTTTTGTGAAAAAGCAGAAGAAATGGGTTGCAAGGCTATGCAGACAAAGGCTGAAAGGAAGATATATTTGTTCCCTTCCTTCATTAACTGACACTTCTCTCGAAAATACAAAAACCGTTTAGCTGGTATGTAAAGTTGGCAAGAAAATTGCACAAGATTATTACCAGGAGATGAGGAGAAACAAGGCTACAACAAATTCTAGCCATGAAGTCATGCAAGACACTCATTGTAAAACTGCTTTGGAAAACATCTCAAAGGAGAAACGTAAAGATTCTCAGTACATCAGTACTCATTTCTCGCCAGATTCTGCATATTCAAAGATTTACAAGTTGCTGAAGACAGCAAACATCTTTGCAATGAGCAGTATTGGAAAGGGTTGTTTTGTGTTTCTTTGTTTTTGAGTATATCCATTTACATCTGTGTAGATCCAGGTAGCAGTGGGCCAGGAATTAGGCTTAGTGTTAGTCTTGCTGGTGGAGGTAACCTGTATCTCACAAAAAAATGAAAGTTATGCTGATATTCATGCTTCAGTGGAACAGAAGAGCATGAGGCCACAGGACAGAAAAAATAATGTTATTCAAATATAAAAGGGAAAAAAAATGTTCATAAGTTAAGAATGGGAAATACTGAAACTAATATTTTAGTTAATTATTAGCCTCGAGGTTTACCTGCTATTTTGGATAAATGTTAGCTTGGTGGTTTATATTTTCATGAAACATGCATAGAAGGGGGAATAAGATCTTGCCCACTCATGTCTTCTGACCACACCTCCAGTCCCTTGCTTTTATCATAACCTGTGAAACAGCCTACAGCCACAAACACTGTGAATCTGTTCTGGGACCATATCTATTCAAGAGTCTCATAGTATGTATAAACACCCCCCACCCATTTTTTACAAACCTAATATGTGCATAGGCTGTCTTTTTATATACTTATTTCAAATAGAAATGCCAACTAAGGTAAAAGGGATATCTATAATGGAACACTGCAGAACAAATTTCCATACCAAATAAAGTATAACAGATCAACATCACAAGGTCCCAAGCACCACACATGGGTTTATATTATCCTGCACCTTGTTGCTCCAGAAATGGCACGGTTTCTCTCTAAAAACATTACCTTGCTGTCTACCTTCTCTGGTTCTAACCAAAGATTATTGCAGGAAGGCAAGATCTCCCTTTACATAATTTATCTTTCTTTCTCGTTGGAAGTCAGCATTGTACACAAGCAGTTTGGCTTCTGGTTAATCATAAGAGTGGTGGGGCTCTGCATTTTAATCCTAAACCAATTATCAGGATTTGCTAGTGCACCATTAGATTCCAAGGAATAAAACTCAAGGGCAACACAAAGGTCTCAGACAGGAGCTCAAAGCTCAGTCTGGGTCTTGCTGAAGGTGAAATCCCAGACTTTGCAATTTGGTAATTTTAAAAAATAAACACAAGACTGCCTGCCCCATCCCAAACACACAAGTTTCGGAGGCGAGGATCTCAGTTTAATTTCAATTTTAATTGGCCATATGGCGTTCTTTCCTTTTAATAAATAGGCATAATTAGTGAGATTTTAGGGCTTCAAAATACCATAAGAACATAAGAGCCGTGCTGGATCAGACCAAAGTCCAGCATCTTTGAGTGCAATTTGATCATAGTGTCAGCTTCCATATTATTGGCTCCTGATACACGGAAATGAAACTGCTAAAATTTAAGACACCTGAAATTTAAGTTCAAATCAACTTTGAAATAGGCTGAGGATCAAAATTGAAACACCACCCAATAATGCTTTATAGCTGCCTATTATATACATACATAACTGCAGTGCTTTTTCCCCTGGGGTACTCAATGGTACCCAGTACCAGACCCTTTTCCTGCATATCTGCATATACTGAGGTAGTGGATTATCCTGCCCTTTATCATCGATAAGAAATGAAACTCAGGTTAGGTCATGAGATAAAAGGAATTAGGCTATGAGGTTATGAAAACAGGTTTTGCTCTTAGTGGGCTTCCAATCAGTTCAGTGGAACAAAGTAAATAACCTTTAATCTATCACACATTGTATGGCATTGGCAGGGGGAACCTGCCTTTGGCACTGGGGTCACTAGGGGGAGTTTGCAAGTTCAGCTCCAACCCCCATGGTGTCCCCAAATTAATCTCTCTGGGGTTTTTCCTATTTAAAGGAGGAGCTACAGTTTATCCTATGTGGACTGTAGTGAACAGAGGGCCCTGGATTTGCCTTCAAGGGCAGCCATGTCTGTAGTAGCGTTCAGTCCCTCTGGCCTACCTGCAAAAATCAGAGCAATATTCAAATTGAATGAATGATTTATGGCAGTCCTTTTAATGGGTTCTGTGATACCAGTTATATGGCTGAAAGGGACTTGCAACATATGAAACAGGCAAAGTTACTTGATTTCAGATTCAGTTATTAGTGAGGTAGGTGATAGTGACTTTAGCAAACTACAATGATAAAATAATGGAAATTTGAAAATCAGTAATGAATTCACCACATATATTTGGCCAATGCACCATACATTTAAATTCAATTTCATAGCTATGGACTGTGAAGACAATTTAGTTAAAAGTCTTACGTCTACCCTTTTCTTCCAAATATTCTATTCAACATGTTATACACTTACCAGTAGACAGATGTGGTGTCAATTTTATACTTACCAGCAGATGTGCTGTTAACTGCCTATTCTGGTAATACAATATGCAATGTAAAGCCCCTCAGATGGAAATTTATATTAGAGTTGAAATTGTCGTCCCCCCCTTAAAGCTGCAAATCACCAGAAGATACAGTAAAATTAACATATCATCTCTATTATTACTTTATGGGACTTTTCATCTTGTTGAATTGCAGTTTTGAAGTTGGAAAAAAGTCTGATCCTGCAACTATTAAATAACTGCATCAAATTACTTGTGTCTACTCATGCTAGGAAGATAACCCCACTTCCTATAACCTAATTTGGAGGGGAGGAACTGCCAAGGCGGTCTTTGAAACAAAACATATTCAGATTCAGATTCAGTTTCTTCACATGTTCTAGGTTCATGAGGCTTAGCCTGAAAATGGCTACTCTAAAAAGTAAAGCAGAGGTATGCATATGAGGTGGGTTAGAACTCATGAATTTCACCATAGGGGAGATGTAAGAGGTACCACTATGTACAAGAACCAGGGAAGAAAATGTGGGTAACACTCTTGTATACCCCACATCTCTGTAAAGTTAACTTGAAAGTTATATGGTAAAGAAAACAAGAAACAACCATTGATTTGAGCACTGGATGCTGAAATGCACCTCTAAACCTAAAAAATGCTAAATACAGTATGGATGGGATCGCATTCAATATGCATACATATGCATATATGCATATGTATTTTTTCAGATCTGTGGCACTGAAGCAATAATCAGAGTTCAGATTTGTGCTCACGTCCATTAGCAACACGGGTAGCAAATCCCTATTTGTTCTTTACTGCATGTTGAAAATTTACAGGACCACAATCAGCTCAGGAGGAGTTGAGTGTAATGCTTATTTTGAATTTATGCTGGCCAGCGTGAATCAGATCATGTGAATTGGATGCTATATTATCTTTGGCGATGCAATATGATTCTTCTTGAATGACACATGGATGACTATTTAATTTGCAGTACTTCTACAGGGTCTGATAGGAAAGAATATAGTATTTTAACATGTTTATCATCTCCAATGAATGAGAATTCTTATTAAACTGTTTATCAGTTAAGTGGGTCCTGTAAAGCTGAGTCTGCTTCCAGATTTCTGAGTCCCCAAGGTGTATCAGATAATTTATCTGGTAGGATTATGTTGATTTTATCAATCTTTAAAAATGAACACAGAGATATGAAATGACACCTGTTGACAACTAAGTTGCAATGTGAACCCTGGGTTAAATATTCTCCATTTAGGTTATTTGCATGAGAATGCACGGGGCTGCTAGGTCAGACCAATAGTTCTTCTAGCTCTGCATACTGCAAGCATAGGCAAACTCGGCCCTCCAGATGTTTAGAGGCTACAATTCCCATCATCCCTGACCACTGGTCCTGTTAGTTAGGGATGATGGGAGTTGTAGTCCCAAAACATATGGAGGGTCGAGTTTGCCTATGACTAGCATACTGTTTCCAACAGTGGTCAGCCAAATACGTCTGGGAATCATACAGGTACAGTATGGTGGAAATGACGTTCCACTTTTGCTTCCTGTCTAACAGCTTTTGACACATTCACCTTCCATGAATTCACCTAATACCGGGAATTGGGGAACCTGTAGATATAGGGTTGAGAAAACAACTCCCGTCAAGCCCCAGCATATATGGCCAGTGGTCAGGGATGATAGACATTTCAGTCCAGCAACATCTGGACAGCCATATCTGACCTAATCATTTTTTTTTTTAAGAAGTCATTTAAGTTATTAAGAATTCAGGTGCGCCCTGTCCTGTGCATCTTGCAAAATGCATCATGGCTCCAGGGATCTAGTTGTAATTTTGGAAGCTCATCATTTGCTCCCAGTGGCAAGAGTACCACCAAGCCTGTGTACCTCAGGCTGCTAATCCCATCAGCATTATAAAAGAATCATTAATATCCCATATTCATAATCACACTAATGGATGGCATGCATAAGGAGCATGCATTATTAAAGGGAGAGTTCTGAATGTGTTGTAGGAGGGGAATTCATTTTTGACTGACAGTCATGTAAACCAAACATCCATATCCTTCACAGTTTCAATTTGGCAGAATTGGTGTTATAGCCCAGAGCGAAAACTCTACCGAACAGGTTTAGACTATTACATTTTAATCTCCCTTGCTACATTTCATTCACTTTCATAATTTTCTTTTCTGCCACCCTCTGAAAGGAAATCTTCTCGTGGTTCTTTCCTTTCATTAGTGAAATCATAAAATAATAATAATACATTGCACTTAACATCTATCAACAGTGCCCATCACTCTGATATATGTAGAGTCCCCCCCCCACCTCACACAGAAATGACCAGTCAGTAAAGTTTCCGAATATTGAAAAGGTCAAAGTACTACAAGGCTCTATTATTTTCACTTAGAAATATTTGAGACATAAAAATAGTAGTGGTGGGAAGGATGTAAAATGGAACATATTCCCTTGATGGCCCCAGCACTGTCACCATGCAATTTTTTTTACCCCTCAATCTATTTTTATTTTTTAAACACCCTATTTTTAGAGAATTATAATTAAATAGGCATATAGGCCCTCAGCAAAATGCACATTGGTAGTAACATAAAAATGAGAATATTCTTAGAGAAGGAGTCCAATATAATAAATACATCAACCATAAGAATATCAAGTACAAAAGTTAACATTAAAAAGAGCTCTAGAAAGACTAGGCTGTATTTCACTAATAATGGATGTCACATGACACTTCTATTACAGTAGTTGCGCTTGCTGTGTTAACTGTATACTTGTAGTCTAACTCAGGGTTCTTCAACCTTGGGTATCCAGATGTTGTTTGACTACACGTCCCATCATTCCTGACCATTGGCTAAACTAGTCATGGGTGTTGTAGTCCAACAGTCCTGAACTCAGGCACAGCCAGCCCTCTGGCTACCTGATTGGCTGATTCAAAACTATGGGCTGGCTGGCTATTGTGCCTTCCTTTGCGGCCAGCTGGGGGAATTCTCCAGCAGCTGATCACACAATGGAGAGGCATCTTGTTCTGTGGAGCCAAGGGTCTGCCATGATGGGCCACAACTGCCACCTACCCAAAGACTGGGTAAGCAGCCATTATCATCCAACAGCATCTGGGAGACCCAAGGTCAAGGAACAATGGTCTACGCAACCTTTTTTCCTTTCTATTAATGGTAGCCATGCTTGCACAACACATATTTTCCCACCTGATGCTCTGTGTTACTTTCCTGTGAGAAGCTATTTGCCACACTTTTGCACTTCACCGCATCAGACTCAATGATATGCTTTCCTGCTGTCTTATATAATAAATGTTCTTCACATCAAGATAATGCAGTGTTGCTTTGGTCTCTGCTTTTATAAAGTGTCAAGTTATGGTGTGAATAAGCTTGCTGTACAGAAGTCCAAAACCCTGTTAATTAAGCCACAATAATATCTACTGTTGCCTTGAGACAGACCCAATTTATTTTTTCAGCAAAAGAATCTTTTGTGTTTGTATTTTTTCCTGTGTACATCCATTAGTGCTGGAAGCATTTGCAACATTAATTGGTAAACATTATTATCTTGAACATTTTTTTTATGCTGTGAAAAGAAATATAAAGGAATTAAGGCATTCTCTGGACTTAAAGAACAACTCTGTACGTCCTTAAGTGGCTCTCTTTATTAATATGATATGGCAAATGTTTGTTCCTGTTTATTAAATCACATGAAAGGTTAATTATGCTAAGCGACTCTGGGTAGAAAACAATTCTTGGAAGAGGCTTTTTAAACAACAGGTTGGCAGCTTGCAGGAGCCATCTGTTTCCCACAAATGTTAAGGTACAATCTTAAACTTGTGAGGTTAAAAATTACAGTAGTTTGGGAGAAGGAAAATCCATGCTGCGATGATGATATGAAAATTCTGATTCTCCTTGACATGCAGCCTGGCAGGAATGCCAAGTTTCCTAAACATGGGGTTTGGTTGCTAATAACCATGAAAACTACAGGGGAACAAAGCAGCAAGGGGGCTCCTGTTATCCGTTTCCTTTCTAATATAAGGGCATTGGTGTCCTGGAATGATGTTGCCTGAAGCTTTTGCAAAACAGATCCATGCCTGATACTGTCATTTGCCTCTAATGGGTTCATATCATGATTTGAAGATGCACTCCTTAATTCTGCCTTGTGAGTCAACTGAGTTGGGCCAATGGCTTAAAAGTTCTCAACATATCTCTGTGTGGCAAAATTGTCCATGCAATGAGATGGGTCTACATTTTAAACTAATTATCCAGCACTGCCATTCCAATGGAGTATTTAAAAGCAAATTATAAAATTTGTAATTGAAGTGAAATACACCCATGCCTAGAAATAGGGTGGCAGTGACATGTTTCTTGGAGACTATGCATTCTGACTGGAGAATGTGCATATGGCCCAGAGAATGTACAAAATTCAGTTGAGATATGAACATTCCAGGCCTGTTGAGGATTATGTATATTGACCAGGAATGTGCACAATTCCCTTTTCATGGAAGGCGTTTGTGTACATTCTCCTTAAGGCTTGGTGAATGTGCCCAATGTGTGGTTATTATGTACATTAACTCCCCTTAACACACACACATGTATTTTGAAGGACAGGTAAGAAATATAAAATAATAATTATGATAATGTTATAAGGCGTTAATTTATAATACAGCCCTTTCACATTCTTCTCATATGTCATTCTTTTTTTATTTATATTGGCCTGGTTTGCATATCATACTAAGTCATAGTTTGGTTTACAATGAATGTGCAAGCATTCTCAGACAGGAGTTCCCAGCTGCTGCACTCCTCCCCAATTGTCTTGCTGTTTCACCACAAAAAACCATAGCCTAAACCAAACCATAACCTGACTCAGGGGTGTAGCAAGGGGGTGCAGTCCGCCCCGGGTGTCCCCACTGAGGGGGGTGTCAAAATGGTGGGCGGCACTCACCGTGGGGCCTGCAGCATGCCCGAACCACGTGTTTCTCCTGGGAGTGACGCGGTGGCTTGGGCGCGTGCAGGCTCTGCGCCACCCCAGACAGTCTGCCCGTTGCCTCCCCCTCAGCTGTAGGGCAGCTGCATGGGAGGAGGCAGACAGACTCCTCAGAGGCCCCGTGGTGCCCCTGTGGGTGACTGGCCCCACCCCCAGGCACCCAATCAGCTTGCTCCGCCGCTGACCTGACTTAGAGTGTCATCTGAACCTGGACTCATGCTTTAGATCTCCTGGACAAACCATGAGCTGTAAACCGTGGAACAAACCTTGGTTACAGCTTCTTGTTAGTCTGTAGTGACTGAAAACAATGAGCCTGGGTTCTGACAACACACTGAACCAAACCATGGCAGAACAGCAGCAGAACATCTGAGGAGGAGCAAAGTGGATGTGGTCTCCTGTTCTCCACTTCTGCATTTTTTCTGAGGCATAGAATGGCCTGATATGCACATTACGCTATGTGCTGCTTCCCCAGGCCAGTCCCTCTATTTAACGTTGCATGTGGTTCCCACAAGGGTTGCCCACAAGGGAATGAGACCCTTGGGCTGGAAAAGAATCCCACAACTCTGTTCAAATACATTACAACAAATTTATCCTTTAGTATGAGGATGTGCATACAGCCCCGGCTAAATTCAGCATCATCAACCCATTGTGAAATAGTGCCAATGTACTAAATAATTTGTCCTGTATAAAAGAGGCATTAGCAATAATACTACATTCAGTGGTAAATTGTTTTCCTTCTTACTCTTTGTTCCTGTTCTCAAAATTGTGGTTTTAGGTAATGAACTGAGACCTAAAGTGAACTTTTGCTGAAGCTCTGATAGCCAGCTTTCTTTTCTTTTTCATTTTTATTTTTTCTGATAGGCTCACTTGAATGGCTAATTCCTGTTCTTGGACAAACTCAACTGTCTTCTAAATGCTCTAAATGCTCAGTCTGCTAGTTTTGCAGGAAAGGCTTTGTTGCCACCACTTGGGTAGGCAAACCCACAGGACTTCTGAGAATTTGGCATTTCAGAAACTAGGCAAACAATCTGCCAGCCCGATCAGTTGCAAGCTAACACATGCCTCCTGTGGCGCCGATTGTGAAGTGACAAGCTTAGCCCAGCCCAGCCCAGCAACAGCACTGCGTCCTTAGAAACAGCAGATTTCTCATCAGACTGAATGTGAAAAGCAGCTCGCTCATTTGGGTGGTGGCTGCTGCTGCTACAGCTGGAAATCTTTTGCCTTCACCTTTATAAAAGGGCAAAGCTACACAGAGAATACACCAGAGGTGGGTGATATCGGACCGTGATACAGGGATGTAGGAAAATAAAAGTTGAAGAGCCTAATGCGATTGTTTTTTCTGAGTGATCTTGAGTATATGAGTGAAAGTTGAAGCTGCTCTGGCAGTGAGGACAATAAGTTGTTAGATCAGAGATGAGAAATCTGTGGCTCTCATGATGCTGTTGAACTCCCATCATCCCTGACCATTGGCTATGCTGGCTGGAGCTGATGGAAGTTGGAGACTGATAACATCTGGAGGTCCACAGGTTCCCCACCTCTGTGTTAGATAGCGTGCCGATGGCACAATCCAGCGGTTCAGAATAAGGCAATCTGATTCCTGCAGTAGATACCAGCTGCCTGTCTCATCCAGCAATGACCCTTGATAGAAAACAATTTATATGTGATTGTTGAATTGAGCACAAGAGGGTCATGGGGGGGGGATTGTATCTTCCTCTTCCCTGGACACTTCTTACAGGGCTACAGAATCAAACTAGGAGTTCTGAATATACTGGCTGGTCTTTTCAGGGATTTCCCAGTAAACAGTTGGGGAGAGATGCTGCCATGCCATTTTGATTGGGGCAGTTTGGGGCTTTGATGATTTTCCCACCACAAAGGTCTACAGCTCTCTTCATTTTGCCATGACCGGTTCAAGCACCGTGCACCGTGCTGTCCTGAGGAAGAAAGAGCTATCTTGTTCTCAACTTGTTAACTATTTCATGCAACAGCAACAACAACAACAATAAGAATGGGGCGGGGGTGGGGGTTAGAATTAACTTTCCATGCCAAATATACACAATATCAAGAGGTGAATGATCCTCCTGAATGTGTTTCAACTGTTCAAAATATATAATTTAGCCTTCTAAAAGTGCAGGGTTTGAGGCAGAAACTGAACAACTGTTTTATATTGAAAAGTTAGTATCCATAATTGAACCAGAATGTGCTGGCTTTGGGTCAATCATTGTAGTGGAAGACAGCCCCTACAGAAAGATATAGTTCTTTGAGGACAAATAGCATTGTTGTGCCTTGTCTGTTTGTGTTTCATCCAGTCACCCACACGACATTTAAATTGTAATTTCCTTGGGGTGTCGGCTCTCCCTCTCATACCATATTGTTAACCCAATAGGTTACATGGAAAGATAGCCATGTGAAAATTAAGACCAACAGCATGAGTAGATCTTGCCCAAAAATATATATGGGAATCCTAACTATGAATTTTCAGTTCCGTTTTTAAAAGAAAAAAGGATGACAGGGAGCCTCTAAATTCTTGCTTTTTGAAGTTACAGGGAAGTAGCCTTCCATAGCGAACAGGTGCTGGCAATGGCTTCAGTCAGAAACATTCCATATGGGTTCAATGCAAATTATGAGACTGTCATAAAAATCATTGGGAGCAAATATGTCCGGTGCCTTGTAGAAAAGACTGATGGGTAAGTATGCTATCTGGAAGAAATGTTTTTGATATATATTAGTGGGGTTATATAATTTTATGTTGGATTCCCTCTTCACTACATTAGTTGTGGATAGGGAAAATCCAAATGAAATGGGGTGAGTATGCTGCTACCTATATGAGGACAATGTCATGTGAACGGCCCAAAAAATATGCACCCATGGGATGTATCAAATAGATTTAAACTGTCAAGCATACACAGCCCTAGTCTACATCTTAAACAGCATATTACAAGAAAACCCTGTTCCTTTGGCTGTACCATTTCACTGAGGGGTTAAGACCCATTGGCTACCCTCACCTGGTTTAGCCAGACAGTTGAAACCACTTCTTGGGGTGTGGCTGCTGTCACATGCTGACAGCTTCTAGGTGAGAGCTGAGTGCAGGGTAGGGACCAAAGGTGAACAAACTACATCAGAAGGAGCACAACGTGTCCCCCACTAGTGATACTACCCGTCTCCTAACACTACCCCAATTCAGTCTAGGAATAATTTTTCAGCACAGGGTCTGCTGCATGTGTACCAGCCACCAGGGGAAAGATATATATTGCACTATAGCCAGTATAACAGAAGGCAATATTCAACGACATAGTCGTGTTGGTGCAAGGATTAGCACTAGCGCAACAGGACCCCCCCCTTTCTCCATACACACTCCAAACCACCCCTCAATCTGCTCATGAGAGTTGTGGGGGGACCCATGAGAGGAGAAGAGAGGAGATAGAAATAACTTTCCACTGCACAAAGAAAAACCCTTGTGCTGACAAGAGCTTTGCTTAGTGCTACCTCGAACGCAACCCAAACACACTCAAGTTAATAGAAAGGAGAAAATTGTTCTGGAATTGTTATTCTCACACATCCCTGACACTGATTTATAAAAAACAAAGTTCTTCGGGCAAGTGTTTTTCAGATTGAGAAAGGCCAAATGGGAACACGGTGATATTTGTTAATATAAATGGCTTACCACCCCTGAACTTTCTTTTCTGGTTGATAAAGTATCAAAAGGTTTAATTGCACAGCTTGGTTTTATGCTTTAAAGAGAATGGCATTAATAATGGCCAGGATCCAAAGAGTTACTTAAGGTATGCCCAAGAGGTCCTGTTAGAATATGTCTCTTCCTCTGAGTGATAGGCCATAATGTAACCTGCTTTTGGAATTCCTCTCCATTTCAAAAGAGCTTTGTCATACAATGTGAGGAAGTATTTTTTAACAGTGCAGCACTATGCATATCTACTCAAAATAAGTCCTACCGAATAAGTGCTGCATCTGGAGGTGGTGCTGAAATAATAAAGACTGTTGTGGGACCTCTACCTGAAGGAGTGTCTCCACCCCCATCATTCAGCCTGGACACTGAGGTCCAGCTCCAAGGGCCTTCTGGCTGTTTCCTCCCTGCGAGAAGTGAAATTGCAGGGAACCAGACAGAGGGCCTTCTCGGTAGTGGCACCTGCCCTGTGGAACGCCCTCCCATCAGATGCTGAGGAAATAAACAACTATCTGACTTTTAGAAGACATCCGAAGGCAGCCCTGTTTAGGGAAGTTTTTAATGACTGATGTTTTAATGTAGTTTTAATCCTTTGTTGGAAGCTGCCCAGAGTGGCTGGGGAAACCCCACCAGATGTGGGGGTGTGTGTGTGTGTGTATAAAAATAGCCGGCTGTGAGAGCCACGACTTTCAAACAAGCACCTGATTACATGGAGGCCAGCCTCACACGATTATTTGCCACTTTCTTGTACAGAGGAATAATTTCTAGCAGGGGGAAGAATGTGGACACCTGTGGTTTGCAGGCAATTTGGAGCTCCCCAGGCCTTACTTCCACCTTGCCCTCAGCCATCCCTTTTTTTTGGTGACTGGTTGGTGGTTGCTGCTGGAAATTGCACTAACTGGCCTCCGCACAATTTTCGCTGGAGGCTGTGTGACAATGGGATGGGACTTTCCTACTTCTTCACCATGTTATTTTGATCCTCCGCTGGCTGAATAAATGTGCTGAGACTCGATTTCTATCATATTTGTTGTCTTGACTTGATTTTAGCAAGTCTTCTGCAAATCCCTCTTATGGCACACTGGGATATTGTTTGTCTGCTGTTCTGCACACATCTCTGAGAAAGGTGAAATTCATAAACCAGTACCATTTTGTTGAAATTTGCATATAAACAAGGTTTAGTGGAACTGTATTAAGTTTCTTTCTTGAGCTTATAGTATTCAGAACTGAACATAAAGTGATTATAACTATTATTACACATACCTCCTTTATACTACATTTCTGTCTGACCAGCAAATGTTACAGGAAACTAATATTTTTTGTGTTGCTCCACAACACATTACGTATTTGGCTCTGTATACTGTAAATATACTGTATGCTTGTTTCCTGACAGCAAAGCAAAGGAGGGTGTAAAAACTGAGACACAATCCATTCTCAGGACACTAGCTCCACACAACGCAAGACAGTCACATGGAAACCCTCCAGGCCTCAATAGGCCTCCTTGTCAACAGATCCATTATGGTCTCAGGGATGAACAACAGAACAAAGGTGAAAAGGAAGAACAAAAGTCTAAACAAGGAGAGACAAGTGATAGCAGATCTGTGGACAACAAAGTGAGTCGCTACAACTGTACTGGTTGCTTATTATAGGCTTCCTACTCAGCATCAGACTTTACTCTTTAACTAACAACAACATAAATGGTTAATAGGTATCTTTTCTACTACTGTGGCTATTGTTATGACAACTACTACTAATGATGATGATAAATAATGACAGTGGTGTCCAGTTAAAAGAACATTCTGCTGCTACCGAATTCTGATGAGAGAACTCCTGTATCAAAAAACAATTGTCATCACAAAACTTTCAACTCCTCCAAACAGAATTGCCTTATATTAAAATTTTGACTGCTTATGCTTCCAGTTCATAGCTGTTGCTTTTTTTTTACTTGGATCTTTCTCTTACTTTCCCATTCTGTAAACATCTCTTCTCATTCTTCTGTGTTTTGGCTATCATAGACATCTGGATTTTACATTGGTTACAATATAAGGCCTGTATTATATTATAACTAATAGACTAGTTATAACATGGATGGGGAACCTGTGGTTAGTCCAGATGTTGCTGGTCTCCAACTCCCATCAACCCCAGTTGGCATGGCCAACGGTCAGGGGTGATGGGAATTGGAGTCTAGCAATGTCTAAGTCTATAATATAATATTGGCTGCCATGACCATATGGAATCAGCATTTGTTTAGGGAGGGGACTGTATATTATTCCATAGATCCAAACAGTGGACCTCTTCATATGAGGTTATAGTCTGATCTTGTATCTCCCCACAATCTTAATATATACATGCTCACAAATTAAAGCAAAAACTATCAGTCAATACAAATCAGAGCTGCATTTTTTAAAAAAATACTGTATGTAACAGTGTTGGAATATTTGCAACATGTGGCAGGAAAATAATTGGCATTGTTAGTATTTTGGTATTATGTGTTTGGTAAACTTCCTTCCTTCCTTCCTTCCTTCCTTCCTTCCTTCCTTCCTTCCTTCCTTCCTTCCTTCCGCAGAACAGGAGGAGAACCAATGGGTGGGCATTTATTTATTATTTACATGTATTAGTCACCAGTTAAGCTAGCCCCTGGGTTAGTTGCAGGGAAGGATATTTCAGCTAGGCATTAGGAAAACACTCCTAACCATAATAGACATTTGACTGTGGGGCAGCCTGCATCAGGAAGATGTGAGCTCTCCTTCACTGGAGATATTTAAGCAGAAGCTGGGTGGCTACCTGTCAAGCATGGGAGATTGTTAGCCGCTTTGAGACTCCTTAAAGGTAAAGGGACCCCTGACCATTAGGTCCAGTTGTGACCGACTCTGGGGTTGCGGCGCTCATCTCGCTTTATTGGCTGAGGGAGCAGGCGAAAAGCTTCTGGGTCTTGTGGCCAGCATGACTAAGCTGCTTCTAGCGAACCAGAGCAGCACACGGAAACACCGTTTACCTTCCCGCCGGAGCGGTACCTATTTATCTACTTGCACTTTGACGTGCTTTTGAACTGCTAGGTTGGCAGGAGACTCCTTAGGGTAGTGAAAAAGTAGGATATCAAATCCAAACTCCTCCTCCTCCTCCTCCTCTTCTTCTTCTTCTTCTTGTTTCAGGATTACTGCATTGATTCGGGACGAGGAACATGTGGCCCTCAAAAATGTTGTTGGACTACAGCTCCCATGAATTTGAACCACTGGCTATGCTGGCTGGGGCTGATGGAAGTTGGAATCCGAGAACAGATGAAGAGTCACAGGTTCCTCATCCCTGGACTAGATTATCTCCATGGTGTATTTCAGCTCTATAACTCTATTATATATTCTTATATCATGAGTTCTCACCTTCAAGGATTGATTTATACTGACAGTTTGGTAGTTCTGTATCTGGTCCTTTTAGTAAGCAAAATATTAACTTTGAAAAATGGGCCATGGTTCATTGAGAGGGATAATTTCTGGATCAACCCTGGGTTCAATCCCAGGCAGTGCTTTTTTCCTAAAAAAAATATTTAGGGGTACTCTCATTTTCCTACTCATATTGAAATACTGCCCCTCAATGAGACCAAACTTAGATTCACAAAATGTTTATGGGTATGCGACTCCCTGCACCCCCCCCCAAAAAAAGCACTGATCCCAGGTAACTTAAAGAATGCTTGAAAGAAAGGATGGGGGTATACCTCTTTCTGAGTAACTGCCACCAGGGTCCTAGAGTCCTCCCTCTTCCTTTCCAAAACTGGGAAAGGGCTAATTGGGCTTTGGGAAAAGTTACATATATGATGCAGTGGAGAGTGTCATATTTGTGCAAGAAAGTCCTAGGAAATCTGCAAAGCTACACAACAAAGCATTCATCTTTGGAGCAGTCACTATCATTTAGCCTAGAGAGATCTTAGGCTTCCCTGAGTTCCTTGGCTAAGCCTAGAGTGGCTGGCCAAAGGTGCGCTTTATGACTGAACTGGTATTTAAACCCAGATCGCTCCAGTCCTTGCATAACTCCTGTTTGTTTATAAAGAATATAATATTTTATATGCAAGAGGTTTTCTGAACTTTAGGGCTCTTTTTCCCCATGCAAAGTGTTTTCAGTACCTACAGTTACTTTACAGAATGAATGTGTTTCTTGGATTGCCTCTTTTCTAACTGCTTGTTTGTTATCCAAGGGTTTAAAACCACTGAATACACATTGTGTCACTGCTCCCTCTGGTGACAAGTCTTTGTCCTACATTCATACTCTCCAAAAACCATCTATGGAAACTCAGATCTTAAAGCAACTTGAAAGACAAGAGGTAACTGAACTTAAGTATAATCAAAGCAATTTGCAGTTTCAGGTGTTTGGCTTGTGACTATTGGGCATTTTTCATATTAGAGTGTTTTAAAATACTTAAGGCCAAATCAAGGGTTTGATCCAAAACAGACATATCTGGAAAAAAGTTACACTAATTTATTTTTACTTACTTGCAAGTAAATGCTATTAGGATCAGGGTGGTTGTCTGTTTTCAGATGCTTACAGCATAATCTGATGCATGTCACTCAGAAGTGGGTCCTAGGGAGACTGCATACCTCACACATCTTAACTGTCCTTCCATACTTTCAATCAGGGAGGCTGAAGAAAATTAAAAGTGGGGGAGGGAAATTTCCAAAATTTCAGTGAAGAAAGTGAGGACTCAACTCTACAGGAGTTGACTACAGAAACTGTGGGTAACAGCTAGCTGTCTTGCAGGAAACTGGCATGGTGTTACTGTGTATGTGTAATGTCCCCCTCATCACCCTACCACACATGTAGAAATGCAAAACTTCATGGCTTTACTATTTTGTCCCCAATTTCTGCCCAGAGAGTTTATAAAGCAGTTCACGTAAATGTAAATGTATTAAAAGTATGGGATAAATGAGAGATATGAAATCAAATAATAAATTTATTGCTAGACCTTACACATACTTTAAAGCATTCCTTTCCTCAGGATATCACTCAAAAACCAATGGATGAAGAGAATGATTCTCTTCTGGGTATCCTCAGAAAAGAACTTGAGAAGTGCCCTTTGAACCTGACTACATTAGAAAAACTTCAGGAAGAATGTAAGGTTTTGGATCCCAGAGTTTCAAGACTTCTGTCTCAGGCACAGCTGAGCCATCTGCTTTTAAAGTATGAAGTCCCTCTGCAATTACCCACTGTCAAACTCCTTTTCAAGAGATTTTCAAAAGCAAATGACCAAGAACTGGTACGTTAATACAACATTTTAAACAAAAATAATGTTGAGCTCAAGAGATTGGATTTCTTAAGACCTGCCTGTACTTTTGGAATATTGATGTTATAGGTCAGATTCTAACTCTGAAATAAAGGTGGGCTGTTTATTTTTGGGGTCAAAAACTATTTTCTCAGCCATTGTAAACCATTATATCCATGCAACCCTTTTAATTATGTACAGCAGAACTGAGCAACAGTGTTTAAACTCAGAATGCTAATAGTGTTGTTATTAAAGATTTTCTTGGGTTACGGAAGTACATACATCGTCTCTATTTTCATATCATAAAGTACTTCTCACAGATCAGTTACATTTGATGTGAGACTTTGATGTTGTATACAGTATAGGGTTGGGGGAGAAGATAGGTGGGGAAAGAATGTTCTGCATAGTTGAACAGGAACATACCTTGGTAATATGGCACCCTATGTGAGGCCAAAATTTGACACTCCTCCTCCAGCCCTTTGCCACCTCCCCAAAGCTGGGTATGGGAGGCAGTAGGCTTTGGCAAGAAGGTGCAATGCTCTGGCAGGGTCCTAGAGTCCTCCCTCTTCCTTTCCAAAACTGGGAAAGGGCTAATTGGGCTTTGGGAAAGAGATAGGAGGACTCTAGGACCCTGCCAGATCCTTCACACCTCCTTCCCAAAGCCCAGCACTTACTAGGGTTTGGGAAGGGGACAGAAGGGTGCTTTTATTGGTTATAGTCACAAATATCTCAAATATGTGATCAATTAACTTAATTCAACGGATGTTATCAGTCTTTTCTTGACAGTTTCTTTTAAAACCCTGCTTTCAAGCTGTGTTTTGAAAAAAAACCTTTTTGTCTTTCATGCAGGTAAATTATGAAAAATTGCTCCAGTTTTTAATGCCAGTGGCAGCAAGCAAGACACAGCAAACACAAGCCCTTCCAAGGAAGAGTCAAAATATGGAGAATCATTGCAAAAGGTTCTATTTTAAATCTCAGTATACTCCTTACAGTTAATAAATGAGCAATGTATCCGAACTCCTTCACCCTTCCGACAATCTTCCTGTCTTACTTTCCATCTGGTCAGGATCTAATAGGTGCAGTAATTATAAGCCACTCAAAAGGATTCCAAATGAAAAATTGGCTCACTTGTGACATTTACAAAAAACAACAACATGTAGTACTCAAGGGGACAGATTTTATCTTGCAGCCATCCAAAATCTCTGCTAACGAAACATATTTGGAGTCTGTGAACACCTACGTTGCAGCCTGCTGGGATGCATCAGTGGAGATTATACAGACTTCCCTTAATTAACCTTGGCAAAGAAGACTGGCAAGGAGTTGTGTGCATTTATGTGAGATATATATATATCGCTGCTTTGGCAGCTGAGCTCTGGAGCGTCTCTTAAAACATAAGTATAGCCAGGATGCTGGTCAGAGTCTGCGTATAAGTATTCATCCATCATAAACTGGCGTACCTCATCTGGATGGGAATGACCTTAGGGACATATTTGCTATATCACATACTTTCCTGGTCTCTGCTGTCATCATTAAGCATTGGCTGTAATATCTGCAGTAATATCAACTGTTGTTATAAACCCACCATTTCACTAAATCAGTGGTGGGGTTCCTGCATCCCCCTAGGTTCTACTCAGAGTAAATAATGTCTCTTGCTTGTTTGCAAAGAGATGGGCGTGTAAAATCTTCTGGTTTGTGTGCAGCTGAGGGAATGCAGCCTGCTGTACAAAAGTAAGTGTTACACCTATTGTTCTGCCCACTTTTGCCTCTGGCCCTGCAGCCCCAGAAGGTGGATTGTGAGCTTTGACCAGGCTTAGCCCTTCTCCTTTTCACAAGGAACTTCTTGCAGCTCCATGAGTGAATTGTAAGCTATGATGTCATAGCTGTCTGGAAGCCTAGATTTCTCGGCTGTTTTGTTTCACATCTAATCCTTCTTCACCTTGTGGTAATACTCTATGGCTTTATTACCAGGTGCTCTGCATTACTGAGTAAGTTGCCCCATTGGCCTCTCAGATGGAGGTCTTTCGGAAAGCACACATACAACTTCTGTAAATGTCAGAAGTGAGCTATAGTGCTGTAACTGCAATTACCATTTTAATTGCCCCTTCGTTACATGCGTTATCATTCCACAGCTCTTGGACTCCGGAAGATGCCTTCCAGGCCTTGAAGCAGACCCTGAAGGAACATAAAGGAGAGCTGAGCCTACAGGATAAGACTTGCTCTGGTCTTCTTTCACCCTCTGAGGTAAAAATAGATTCTGTGGCTTACAAGCCTAGTTGTATATTCAGGAAGTGCTTTCCCACTATAAAGGAATGGAATGGATCATTAGTAACAAAATGTTTTTTTTCTGCCATTCACCTTGTAGGGTTGCCATATTTCATATTTTTAGGGGGGTGCTAAGTTAACTCCCCTTTTTTGCAAAATCTCAAAAAAAAGAAGTTTTAAAACTTTTTTTAAAGGAAATTCAACAAAATCTACATGGGTTGCCACATGTCCAGATTTTCCCGAACACTTTAGCAATTTCCACCTGGATGCTGTTACAGATGGCAGAATCCTGGCTATGTCCAGGATATTCCAGACATGTGCCAACCCTACCTTCTTGCCAGTAGATAATGTTGATCAAAGAAATAACTGAGGAATAGACCAATTCTCTCTTACCAGGTGAGGTAGAATTGAAGGTAGGTGATCTGTGAAGTATACACTTCTGCTTGGCTCACATAGGAGGGCAGAAAGTTTTTCTTCCTTTCTTTGCTTCCATCACCTGGGAGTTCTTTCCTCCTTTAGGTTCTTATGGAGGGAAATTCAGTTTGAGGGCTGGTGTCCTTTTCACACTGCTTTGGGGGCATGTGCTGGAGGAATGAGGTAACTTGGGATTTTGTAGGACGAAGACCTCCCTTCCATATCCACAGCAAGTCCTTCTCTTTCCCCATCAGAGCACCTCCAATGAAGGGGGAGGTGGATTCTTATCCCATGAGAACACACCTGGCTGATACCAAATATCACGAGAGCAGGATATAGACAAGACAACATGTACATACTCTACATAAAACAAAATGACCAACCTGAAGGAGACAACTCAGAAGCTGGTCTGAACAAACAATTAAGTCCCTGTTCTACGCAATACTGCGCTAAATAGACCACTGTTCTGATTGGGTATTAAGTAGTTCCATGTGTGAGGGACGCGGGTGGCACTGTGGGTTAAACCACAGAGCCTAGGACTTGCTGATCAGAAGGTTGGCGGTTCGAATCCCCGTGATGGGGTGAGCTCCTGTTGCTCGGTCCCTGCTCCTGCCAACCTAGCAGTTCGAAAGCACGTCAAAGTGCAAGTAGATAAATAGGTACTGCTCCAGCGGGAAGGTAAATGGCGTTTCCGTTCGCTGCTCTGGTTCGCCAGAAGCAGCTTTGTCCTGCTGGCCACATGACCCGGAAGCTGTACGCCGGCTCCCTCGGCCAATAAAGCGAGATGAGCGCCGCAACCCCAGAGTCAGCCACGACTGGACCTAATGGTCAGGGGTCCCTTTACCTTTACCTTTAGTTCCATGTGTTGCTGGTCCCAGTGTGAAAGGTGGGTTTAGCCTACCTAAAAAATGTTACTGACTGTAGTCCCTTTATTGTATTTATTTTACTTTGCACATAAAACCATAAACTTTTATGGAGAAACACACAGTATATAATCCTTTTACCAGGAGGCATTTTGCTAGTCTAACAAATATATATTTCTTTCAAGCATTCATATTTATACACAGCATATGTAGAAGGTCTTAGTTTGGAGGTGCATGAAGTCAACAAGGGGTTCTTCAGGTTCTCTTGATTTCTGTCAGTCTCCATAGCTGAAAAGCACCAGCTTGGATTGGGACTATGCTTTTCACATGACAGTTGCTTGAAAAAAAAAAACAATTTCCCCAAAACAATATTTTGTTATGCATTGCCATAGTTTGCTCTTCTTCGTTGTGTATGCCCATTGACTATAGTACTTCATAGGAGCCTTATTTCTTAAAACTTGTTTTTATCTTGTGATGTGCTAGCAGTGTTCAGTAACAAAACTTATCTTATTTGCAGACAGAGGTCATTTGCAAAAAGCACGGACTAATTCTGCCCACTGGGATCTTGGAAGCTTTGGTTAGCACCTGTGAGTTTGGCAAAAGAGGCAAAATAGAGTGAGTTTTTATTGAGATGCTTCCTTCATTTCAGTACGTTATGTGTGCATCTTGATCCTACAGACCCGGAATGTGGCAATACAATTAGAGAGTTGGGCTTCTGGAGAGAAAGCATAAGCCCGTGTATTGCTGGATTGAGAGCAGCTGGGTGGTTCTGTCCAAATGCCCCCAATTTTCCAGATAGTATGCATTCCTTCCCTTGTTATTTCAGTCAGAGTGCGCAGAAGTTTGACTCCTACAAGGCCAAGAAGACATCCCATGCAAGGGGTAGTGGGACGAGTTTTGTCTTGTCTGTCTACTAAACTTGTAGTCTGGTCCTTGTTGAGTGCAGCTGTGCCACACAGTGATGGAGAAAGAAGGAATGGCAAAAATGCAATGAGGAAGGGCCATAGCTCAGTGGTAGAGCATCTGCTTTCCATGCAGAAGATCCCAGTTTCAATCCCTGGCATCTCCAGGTAGGGTTAGGAATGTCCCCAATCACTGAGGACAATATTGAGCTAGAACAGATGAACAAGTGGTTCTTTTTTATGGAGGGTTCCACTGATAGCCACCACTTAAACATTTTCAAAGATTTAGATCTGAAGGTTATCACACTTGTCATTGCCATGCATACCTGCAAAAGACTCCATCACATTTTTGCCCTTTTTCGAGGAGTCTGAAGGTGCAATATAAGAGCTTAGTTCTGTGAGGTTCAAGGTTTTAGTTCTCTCTGTACCACTTGGTTGGCACCCATATAGAGTGGCTATGAATCCTTAGTACAATATCAACCATTAATACTCCCTGCTAGTACTGGGTTGTAGTCAATGTTAGTTCTATTCAGAGCAGACCCAATGAAATTAATTGTCATGACTAACTCATGCCCATTCATTTCAATGGGTCTACTCTCAGTAGAACCTAGTTGGATGTGATCCATGGTCTATAACTTGGCTCGTGCTAAATTTGAGGAATAAGTCGTGTTTTCACCATATAGTATGACGGTGCCCTTCTGCTTAGTTTGTATTGCTGATCTTTTCAAGGGAAACTTTGCGGCTTCTTGAATGCTGCACAGATCTTACTATAGCTCTGTGTTAATGCCTATGTCTTCCTCTGCTAAATTAAACACATAATAAACAAGTTGCAACTGCACACTAGCTTGCCAAAGCTCCCCCCCCCATCATAGCAAAAACCCTCCAAATATATTTGGCTTTGCATGTCAAGGACCCCAGGACACCCTGAAATAAAGACACAGTTCACACAAAATTTTTGTTTTGGTTTTTGGCATAATTTTGGCCACAACTTTATTGATTACAGTATGTGAGTGGTTGCCTAGGCATTGGTTAGCAACTATCTGTTCCCACTTAGAGGTAAGAACAGAACTGACAACTGCAAGCCTGCGGAAGTCAGTAAGGGTAAACATTTTTGGGGAGAGAATAGAGCTGGGTGCCAGGCTCTCATTGCTGTTGTTGTTTAGTCATTTAGTCGTGTCTGACTCTTCGTGACCTCATGGACCAGAGCACGCCAGACACTCCTGTCTTCCACTGCCTCCCGCAGCTTGGTCAAACTCATGCTGGCCAGGCTCTCCCCTCTCCCCAAATGCTCCCAGGGGCTTGTGTGGCCCTAGCCCCTTGCCAGGGGTTCAGACAAGAGCATGGTGAGCCCCTGGATTCCTTTACCAGAATACCCTTGCAGCAGCATCATTGGAGGGGCTGGCACAGCCAACCATACCCCCCCAACCAAAATTAACCAATGCCTAACTGCAACCTTACAAGTTGTGACGATTTGCTATACAGTAGGCAAAACCAAATGGCACCAGCCAATCAGCCAAATGGTAAAAATTCCTATCAGGCCCCTGCCCCAAAACAGACGACCCCATGAGAGGCATAGCAAGGTCAGCACGAACAACCCTAAATATAGGGAGGGTGGGCGGGTAATCTGATGCACGCAGTGAAAAGAGGAAGCTCAACGCTGCATGCAGGGAATAAATAGCACCCCAACAGTCAATCAACTTTACAACATCAAATTCTCCCCAGCAACAATTGGAGGTGCCCTATCAGATTCTTGGCCATCCATACTAACCCGTCCAGCAACAGGGGATGTCATGATTGCCCCCACCACAACATGTGCTCTCCATGAAGGAGAACCCGCTTTGCTAAATGATTTTTCTTATAAGAAAAATCATTTAGCAAAGCCAAATATAAGAAAAAATCATTTAGCAAAGCAATGCCCAGAATTGCATTTTTAAAGATTTTAAATCCAATATAAACAAAATAAACCTATTGGGTGTGCCAGAGTCATTGGTTTAGTTATGCATTACCCATTTTAATCTCTGCTTCCACTGTGAATGAAACTTCAGTAATTAGCAAGAATCTAGCTCTGAGCCATTTTGTGATTAGACTGTGCTTAATATCAACCCACCATGACTGATAGCAGTCTATGCGAGATATCTCATTGCCACAAAAAGTTAATCTTTCTCTCTTTAATCCTGTCATGGAAAGTAATACGATGTTGAAAAATAAGCTGAGAAACAACTCAGAGGAAGTCCATAGATATTTTTGAACTCGCAATTTAATAGAATAAGAAGAAGAAGAAGAGTTTGGATTTGATATCCCGTTTCCACTCCCCTTCAGGAGCTCAAGCGGCTAACAATCTCCTTTCCCTTCCTCCCCCACAAACAACAGTCTGTGAGGGTGACTGTTGGCTGAGGAGACTCAGAAGAAGTGTGACTGGCCAAGTCACCCAGAGCTGCATTGGATTGGAGCGGGAGACCAACCCGGTTACCAGATTACGTACTACCCGCTTCTTAACCACTACACCACACTGGCCAAAGGATTAACTTCTTAAGTTAATCCTTTGTTAAGTTAAACCAAAGGATTAACTTCTTAAGCACCATTGCTTCCTTTGTTATGGAGTCTGCCCTTGACTCCCGAGAAGGTTCTCCAATAAGGATCCTAGCTCAGTAACAGATTACCCGTACCTGCCTTGTGCAAAAGAGATTCTAGGTATGAATCATTTCTCAGTGTCCAGGTAGCATAATTGGGAAAGACCATTCTTCCCAGCTTCCAGGTAGCATAATTGGGAAAGACCATTGCTTGAACCTAGACAACACACCATCTGCTAAGAACAATGGGCAATACACTTCCTGATAATCATTACTGACAGACTAAATGAGCTACTGGTTTGACTAAAAGAGATATTTCAGCTTCTGGCAAAAATCAGGGGAACATCATATGTGTGCATGTTAGAGTAAATGCCAGAAATGTAATCAAAGTTGACAAAGTAATTCCTTGTATTTTAGTAGGCTTGTTCATTAACCTATGACCCCAAAATTCAGGAACAGCCCCCCTCCAAAACTGATGCCAAAGTCTTGTGCTGCAAATCCCACTTTTCCTGCCCTCCCAAACTGAGTAATCAACACTCACCCTGGGAGGCCATAAGGACACACCAAAACCCAACCTCATCCAACTGACTCCAAACTGGTTCCAAGGTGGGGTGCTGGTTTTATGCCTTCGGGGTCAAAGGTTAATGAAGCTTTAGGAGACCAGTGGCAAACAGCAGAATTTTCCAACAATTATAAATAACAAGTGTAGTAGAATGAAGCACAGGGAAGAGATCAGAAAAACATTACTAAATGGATAAATAAAGGATTAATAAGAAAATCTGCATAAGAAAGGACTTGCAGAAGAAGGGAAATTCAAAGTGTTGGTTTGGGACCAGAGGGCCTGTTTAGGTGTCCACCAGTGAATATAATCAGATTTACAGGTACTTGTAACAGAGCCTTCTTAGTGGTTGCCCCACAACTATGGAATCTGATCTATTCCGATGTAGGCAGCCTCATCTTTCCCATCCTTTCACCAGGGTTTGAAGGCTAACATTTTTTTGTCTGTGATCTTTACTAGCTAACTCAGGCTATAAATTGGGACTGGTATGCCAATGTCTGGCTGAATTTATTGGTTATTGTTTTATCTCTGCTGGTTTTTAATATTGCTATAAGATGTATATTGAAAAGATTTAGTTTGTATTTAAATAAGTTGTGAGCCACTTTGTAGAATATATTCTCAAAAAATCCCTTAAATAAATACCTGTACATAAATAGGAGAATGAGAAAAAGGTGAACATTTGAGAATGATAGAAGAGTCACATAATGCAAAAACAAGAGAGCTAATCACAGAGCAAAGCAGGACAATTTATATTAATGTATATAATACTATGTATATTATAATGGACATTACATTAATGTTTTGGTTTTGCTTACATATAATCTCCCTATGTAACTATAATGTGGAAAGATGTGAAGGAGAACCTAATGAACAGGAAATGCGCTTTCAAATATTGCATTTATCTTGAGATGTTTCCTCATGTAGATGGAAAACGTTTGTGGAGTTTCTGAAGAAAGTCCAGGCTGGGATCAACCCTGCTCTGCTTGTCTGCAGAAGTAAGCTATGCAGTTGCTGTTATTCTGGTCATACCAAAATATTACAAGGTGGCAACAACATTTTACATTTCTGGAGAAGGTTCTTGAAATATATCATTTGTAGCAAGTGGAAGAGCCCATCAGGCCCCTTTCAGAGCGCTGGAGAAACTTTGGATCCAGTTGATCCAGAGCTCTGTTTTGCCCTGCCGTCACAGCACCCTCAGAACTTCCTGACAGTAAGAGCTGTTCGACAGTGGAATTTGCTGCCAAGGAGTGTGGTGGAGTCTCCATCTTTGGAGGTCTTTAAGCAGAGGCTTGACAACCATATGTCAGGAGTGCTCTGATGGTGTTTCCTGCTTGGCAGGGGGTTGGACTCGATGGCCCTTGTGGTCTCTTCCAACTCTATGATTCTATGATTCTATGATTCTATTCAGGGGTCTGTGCTTGATACTACCAGTAGGAAGACAGCTGGTGACAGGTTCTCAATCACCATGGTTTCATCAGAGCAGCAAGGTCCTCTGCAATGGTGGATGACCACTTCCACTATCTCCTAATACCCTCCTGCAGCAAAAATTTAAAGTGTTAGGAAGATGAGGAGTACAATCCTAACAGCCAACAGTTTTCCTTGACTCGAGTTCAGATTCAATATATTAACAAAAATTAGTAATAGCTCTGCTAATCAGATCTGAAACGGAACATCTTCACTGAGAAGATAGTATGAATCTTGACAGTTTGCTGCTCCTTCAAATCACAGAAGCTCACTTTGGAATTTAATATCACAGTCCAGAACTTGCCTCAGACAGAATTAACAAATTATTGGGGATTTCCTACACCATCACTTCCTGCAAGAATTACATGGTACAATGACTAAGGAAATTTCATTGGGCTTTCTTAGAGGAGTTTCAGTTAGGGTACCATTTCCTGAAATTCTCAGTAATTAAATGGTCAAGTTATTTTCACTAAACTGAAGCATTTCAACATGCACTGAGTACAATTCACTTGGAATGTACGGTACCTGGGAAATCTCACCCAAGGAGGTGAAAGGTTTGCCTGAGGTGAAAGAATCCAGATGAGTTGTTAATAATATAATATGTTCATGCTACCAATGTAATTAACAAATGAAAAATACTAACTTAGAGTGAGTCATCCTTGATAAATACTTCAGAAAGAGACTATCATGTGAGAACTATGAACATCCTGTAAACATAATAATTGCCTTGTTCCTATGCATTACTTTGGGAGTAATCCAGAGAACATTTTGCCTATAAATAACATTTTAAATATTAACCTGGATCGGGACAAAGATCTATCTAGACCAGATTCATTTCCCAATACATTCAGCAAAGCTGTTCAGCAGGGAATGATGGTGACAACAACTCTCTCTCTACACCATCTGGCCATTCAAAGTGCTTCTCAACATGAAGAATCCATATAGGTCTATCTTCCATTAGCTTGCACATCTGAATCTAAACTTGGGTATTAAAAAGTAGAAGACAATTTTCAGACTTTGTTCTGGAATTGCTGGGTACTTCATGTTGCACTCTTAGAAAGATGACAGAGGTGGTATTATAAAACACTTCCACAAGATCTATGAAATAAGTAGTATAATACTGCTCCTCAAGGCACTACAATGCACCTGTTAAAACAATTATAATGTTGGGCATGTGATTTACAGAGTGCTAGCTAATTGTGGGTTTTTGGTTCTTTTTAAAGAAAATTGTGAAAGGAGTGATGGATGTGAGACATTGACTTAGGCAGTGAATTAATCTAATCATCTTTAGAAAGCTCTCTGGGATACTTAATATTCAGGAGGTGACTAAGCACGGAGTTGAGCCAATAGCCATCATTGCTACAGAGACTGATCAGCATGCAACAGTTGGGCTTGAACTTTAACCATCTGGCTGCAGGCAAACCAGCTGTCTTCTCAACTAGAAATGCTATTCATTCCTGGGAATTGATTCATCTTTCCCACGATTTAATTTTATGCCTCACAATCTGGCCTACCATCCATAACTTACTACATTGTCCAATCAGTGCAGATGAGAAATTACAGTTCTTTGCTCAAGGATCAAGCTCCACAGGGCTTTAAATATAAACTGAAGGTTACGGAACTGAGTGCTACTAAACATTATAAGTGAAAGAGACAGATGTAGGTGAGGGTGACAGTTTAATAGGGGAAAAATGAACCATTCTCCTTAAGAAGTCACAACAAGCTGCACTTGCAGAAGGCTACTAGTTGAGGAACTGTGGCTGCATCGTACATGACATCTTATAGGGCAGGGATGGGAAATCTGTGGCCTTCCACATGTTATTGACTCGGCTACTATCATCCCTGACCCACTGGCCATATTAGATGGGGTTGGTGAGAGTTGGAGTCCAACATTATATGGAAGTCTACAGGTTTTCCACTTTTATAATGATCTGTTTTCTTGTATGCCATCCTAGTTTGCTACCATCACCATCCCTCCATCCTGTTTTGAAAACCTACCAGAGTTGCCTCTCCTTTAGTGGTTCAGCTAAAGGACATTCCTAATTCAGATTTAGCTTCTTGACCTGGTCCAGAATATTGCCATATAGTGCAATATTGTATCATTTTATTGTTTTTAGCCGCCCTGAGCCCAGCTTCGGCTGGGGAGGGTGGGATATAAATAAAAATTTATTATTATTATTATTATAAAGAGGTATAAGCAAGGGAAACGTAGGTTTTCAAATATGACAGTGTTATTGGATCCCAGTGACGTGGGATGGAAAACCATCAATGGCTGCAACTGAGAGGAAAGATGACAAATAGAATTGTGCTCTACATGTAAGTATGTGCTGGTTTCAGTTTGAGGCACGAGTCGGTTCACAAAGCACTGTGCAGGCACACACAAAACTCCATTGGTGGATAGTAAATGGAACGCCATATTGGCATAGGCCAATTTGCTATGGAGGAGAGCAGAGGATCTAAATCTTGACCCCTTCCTTGAGACCTGATAGTCTCAATTGGAAAACTGGTGATGATAAAGCCTATGTGCATGGAGGGTTGGACCATGAACCTCCCACCCCCACAACATCCATTTGCTTGCATTCATGGCTTTTTGGCCACCTAGTGCTATGCACACAAAATCTAGCTTCTTTTTTGCATGCATTTCCACGTTTGATTGCAACTGGAGTTTTGTCTGTGACTGCCACCTGTAAGTCCTATGCCAATTGTGCTACTTGCTGCTAGTCTGAGGGCCAGAGGTCGTTGCAGGTCAGATTTTGTAGGTACAAATGACTCATGACAGGTCAATGTAGTGCATTCTAGATGTCTTGGAATACAGCTCCCATCTCTGACAATCAGCCAGGCTGGTTGAGGCTGGTAGGCATTGTACTCCAAAATATCTGGAGGTTGCATCTCATAGAACAGGGGTCCCCAAACTAAGGTCTGCGGGCTGAATAAGGCTCAAGGGACTCGTTTATCCGGCCTGCGGCACCCGCTGCCACCCGCTGCCGCCCGCTCTTACCGGCACTGCGCGGCTGCCCACTTCCGAGTCAGAGGAGCACAGGAAATAGCTTGTGCACATGCGCAAGCGTTATTTCTGGTGCACATCCGGGTTGGAGGACGCCCATGCACATGCACACAAGCTATTTCCGGTGCTCCTCTGACCTGGAAATAGCGTGTGCGCACACGTATGGGCATGTGCTCCCCCGCCCTCTGGCCCACCACACAATTGGTGCTGGAGACACTGGACCGAGATGCGGTAAGTTTGCTGACCCCTGTCATAGAACAAGAAGCAACTTAGTGGGCTTCAGCCACTAGAGAGCACAGTTTGCTCATTGAAGTCTGGTGATGATTAATACGTTTCCCCAGCATTTTTCTAGGAAGGTAACTCAAGGTCAAGGTGGCTGAAAACCAAATCAAAGTTGAGCTTATCCAATCACATTAGTGTTAAGAGTTCACAGGACTAGTTTTCATGTCATATCTGAGAGTGGCCTGTTCCAAATAAATGGAAATCATACAACTTCAACTACTAATAAACAATAAAATACCTCACAATTGTTTTCATCTTTAGGAGGAAACAAGGAGAAAAGTGAAGATGACTCTCAGGTATTTTCAAAACTATATTGTTTCATCCACAAATTGTTAAGAAAGTCTGGTTTGTAAAATGGGACTGTGAAATTGTACTTGAAAGCTTTAATACTGCTTAGAACCTTGTCTAGCAAAAGAACTCAGAAATTATTAATAGTAGTAGTAGTGATTAAATTTGTATCACTCTTCTTTCCAAAGGAGTTTATCACATTCATCTGCTCCCATCCTGAATGCAACTATGTAAAAAGACCATTGTTGTCTGCCTTGTTTCTCTGAAGAGGGAAATGAGGTTGATAGCAATTTGCCCAGTACTGTCTAGGGCTACATTCATATGACAATTTCCCTGAGGTTTCTGCATTACAATGTAAAAGCCACTTCTTGAAAACTAATGGAATGTAGTGCATATTTAGTATTTATTCCCAAGTTATTTGATTCCAGGGGAAAAGACATATGTTTGCTGCCCCTTTAACCCAGAAAATTGCAGGAGTAAAGCAATGAAATTTGGGGCAGCATACCAGCATAATAGGGACACAGGTGGCACTGTGGTTTAAACCACTGTGCTGTTTGGACTTGCCGATCGGAAGGTCGGCAGTTCGAGGCCCCTTGACGGGGTGAGCTCCCGTTGTTCGGTCCCAGCTCCTGCCAACCTAGCAATTCAAAAGCATGCAGTGCAAGTAGGTAAATAGGTACAGTGGTACCCCGCAAGACGAACGCCTCGGAAGACGAAAAACTCGCTAGACGAAGGAGTTTTTCGTTTTCTTAGCCGCTTCGCAAGACGCATTTCCCTATGGGCTTGCTTCGCAAACGAAGCTTGCCCCGCAAGCTCCGGGGATAGCGGGGAAGCGCAGCGCGTCTTCCCCGCTGTCCCCGGACCTCTTTTGAAGCAAGGGGTGGCAACGGGGAGAAGCGATTCTCCCTGCTGCCCCTTCCCTTGCTTTAAAACAGTTCCCCGTTGCCTGCCCCGCAATCTCCAGGGACAGAGGGGAAGGCGCGCGCGCCTCCCCTCTGTCCCCGGACCCCTTTTGAACCAAGGGGCGGCAACGGGGAGAAGCGATTCTCCCTGCTGCCCCTTCCCTTGCTTTAAAACAGTTCCGGGGACGGCAACGGGGAGAAGCAATCTTCTCCCCGCCGCCCCTTGCTTTAAACAGGTCCGGGGACAGAGGGGAAGGCGCACGCGCCTTCCCCTCTGTCTCTGGAGATTGCGGAGCAGGCAACGGGGAGAAGCAATCTTCTCCCCGCTGCCCCTTGCTTTAAAACAGGTCCGGAGACAGAGGGGAAGGCGCGCGGTGCTTCCCCTCTGTCCCCGGACGGTCTCCATAGGAACACATTGATTGATTTTCAATGCATTCCTATGGGAAACCGTGCTTCGCAAGACGAAAAACTCGCAAGAAGAAAAAACTTGCGGAACAAATTAATTTCGTCTTGCGAGGCACCACTGTACTGCTCCGGTGGGAAGGTAAACAGCATTTCCGTGTGCTGCTCTGGTTCGCCAGAAGCAGCTTAGTCATGCTGGCCACATGTCTCAGGAAAACTGTCTGCAGACAAACACAGGCTCCCTTAACCAGTAAAGTGAGATGAGCGCCGCAACCCCAGAGTCGTTAGTGACTGGACTTAACTGTCAGGGGTCCCTTTACCTTTACCTTTACCGGCATAATGTTCCTTTCTGCTGTTTTCATAAGGGAACAGTGAGAGGAATATCAATTATGTTCAATGGCATTCATGGTTGTGTCACACCACACCTACTGAAATTTGGTATAACAAGCCAGTATTTAGGTCAAAAAGTCATGATTCCACAGCACAACAGGTAGTGTGGTGTGAAAATAACATTATAAAATCTGACAGAACCACAGCATTATAATCAGAAAAACTAACAATATTCCCCACATCTGAATACACTCTTAGAGAAAGATAGGAAATCTCATGGCCCTCCAGTTATTTTTATTGGATTCTAACTCCCATAACCTGTGACTGGACCCTAATTTCCAAATCACACAAATGACTGTGTCATAGAAGCAAAACATAATGTAATCTCCCAATTTTTAACCAATAAATTGACCCAAATACTCTAGTGAGGATCTGAAGGAGCCAATACTTTAAACTGAATGTTATCCCCTCCTCCATCTTCATAGAAAGTTGACAAATACTAAACTTTTGAAAATTTGATGTAATTTGGACAAAGGACAAAGAGTGGTCCAACCGTTGTGCTGGCAAGACTTGGGAGCAAATGAAGGAGGTCACATACGACTCCATTGATGCTGAGGAACAAGATGCCTGGATAGACCGGTTCAGAAAACTGGAGAGGGCTCTTTATTTGTGCGATGTGAAAAACACAGGTAAGAATAGTTGTGGTTGGAGAAGGGGCTGCTGCACTAAGGAGATGGCTTTTGTATCTGGCTTGTATTTCATGTCAACCTCATATTTATCCATGAATGTCTGAAGGGAAGAAAATAGGCAGTAGCACATTACTGGCCTATAATTATGAGCACAGATGATCAACTCACTCCTTGGTAATATTTAGGATGACACAATAAATATTTTTGTTCCAAATTGCTTTTAATGAGGGGTCCAACAGCAGCCTGTTTTTAATCTTCAACTGGCTGTGATGTAAAGAATTGAAATGTAGCACAAGGGTAGCCATGTAATGCCCTCCAGATGTTATTGGGACTAAAACTCCCATCACCCCTGTCCATTGGCCATGTTGGTTGGGGCTGATGGGAGCTTTAGTCTAACATCAGGAGCACACCACATTGGCTAACCCTGTGCTTTGATATTATGTGTGAACAGACCACTAGGGTTGCATTTGCTCAACAGTCAAGTCTGATTTTGTCCAAAGGGCAAGATAATATTTTTTTCCTCTCTCTCTCTTTTCTCCTTTCTCTCTTTTCCTCTCTAATACATACAGGCAAGTTGGAAAAAGAAAAAGCCAAGCGTCTAATCCATAACTACAATCAAATTTATGATCTGTGCCTTAGTCCATTGAAAATTGATAAAGGTTTTCGACCTTTCCGTCCTGGACAAGACATACCTCTGGAACCTTTGCTGGATTACTTAAAGGAGCTGTAACTGTTGCTAGTAATACAGAGTTCATGAGTGTACATGCCTAATAATGTTCATTCACCCACTGGTGTTCTTACTGAGTCAGTATCTGAAAAGTTTATACTTCTAATTAATTCTTCATTTCCAAATGAGCTGAAAGTACATACTCCCACCTGTGCTCTTTTAATAAAGCTTTCTGTCTGAAATATTAGTGAATATAATGATTGTTCTCCAGATCTTGTACATCAAATATGCAATAATTTGTAGGAGGCAACTCAGTTCTCTGTTTTTTTGAGAAGTTGATTATCAATGAAATTTTGTACCCAAGAAGTCACAGGGCAAGCAAAGAGTTACTGGAACTTGTAAAAATGCATCTTCAAAATTACATATTCTTCTGGTGGAGTTTTTTATATTCAGATTTAAAATCTTACTAAGAGTCACTGTGCATGCAAACAGTGCAGTACATTCATTAGAATGTACACACACACACATTGTGATTAATTACTAATTTTGGTACACTTATGCCAGCAAAAAACTAGAGAATGTCATTCCCTGGAAATGACCCAATTGTAGTTTAAGTGTGCAAAACAAACTTAACATTCCCAGGATTCTTTGGGGAAAGTAATGCACTTTAAATGTGTATTGGGTGCACTTTAAATTTATCATGTGGATCTGCCCATAGATCACTGAACTTGGAGTCTCAATTACAGAAAGAAGATTCTGTTAACATGGACTAACAGTAATCCCTGCAGGGGCTTTGGTAGTGTGGCACCCTGAGCAAGGACAAAATTTGGCACCACTCGCATAATATTTCGTATTTTCACAATAATTCATTTTGGAACAGTTGCTTTGGTTTGGATATTCTCAGTAGGTATCTGTATAAATACAAACTTATTGTTTATTATCATTATTACTACTGCTACTACGACTAATACTAATTTGCACCCCCTCAGCTTGGCACCTGTGGTGGGGAATCACCTGCACCACCCTAAATTTGGTGCTGGTCCCAGTGTGCTGTAAATGTATTGTTTAGAGTGGCAGGGGGCAGATGCACACAAGAAAAACTACTAAGTGGTTGTAGTTCTGGTCATATAAAATATATTCAACTGAGAAACAAATATAACTTCCCTATCTCATACGCTTCACACTTTACAATTCTTGAAAATTGTATATTGCACAGTATATATAGCACTGTTGGGGATTTAGGATTTTATAGCTACTGATGCAGTATCTATTCAAAGTACCTTAAATTTTACATACCACCCCCGCTTTTTTGGAAGCAAAGTTTTTTCCCCCATCTGTTTGTCCCACTTTCCCATCTGTTCTAGAGGTCTCACAGTTTTGTTCAATATGTTTACAAGTGCTGATTTTTAAAAGGAAATCTAATAGCTTTTCTACTTGAATTAGAAAAAGATTTTGAAATGAATGGACCCAAATTGTGAACCAAATCAGAATTCATAGAAAATGACAGGTATAGCTATAGGTACAATATCAGAGGAGCAAAGGAAGGGAAGTTGCCTTCACATTTAAAAACTAAATCAGAGCAATTCCATAAACAATAATTCTATACAGTACTGAGTCCACTCTCTTGTTACCATATATTGTATAACAAATCACAGATTTTTCTACACTAGGTACTCAGGATGTAAAGGCCTGGGATGGGGGGCAGGAATGGAAAGCTTCAGAGGGGAGGGAGAATTTTCACAAAATTTCCAGAAAAAACATTCTGGGGTTGGGGAAAAGATCCCCCATACCTGGAGATAAGTCCCTCTGGTATGCACGATCCCAAGGGCAACACTAGAGAGTAGTTATTCTAAAAAGTCAACACAGTCCAAAGTCAAACAGGGCAGGTTCTCATCTTTGCGGAAGCTCCGGGATCAAAAAACCTGGGGTCAGTCTCAAAGTCACAGTCCAGTGGAGCTCCCAAAGCAGCCAAGCCATGGTCCATCAATGGAGGAAGCTGAGCAGACACAGAGCTTCTGCCTTGCCTCCCTTTCAGCCTTCCAGTTTGGATTGGCATATCTGGGTTTGCTCCAGCTGAGCAGTTGTGTCTCTCCACTTGATGGGCATGTAACCCTCACCTGCCCTAAACCTCATCCAGCTGCACAACCACAAATGCCTCCCAGACCTAATGAACCCCATGATCTCCACCTGGTCAGCTAGTGAGCTGGGCTGTGTTCCCTTGCCTGCCTCACTTTCCTGGAGTGCACTTCCTGCTGTTCCTGGTGCCTTAGAGCTTGCTGTGTCTGCAGAGATGTGTTACCTCCCCAGGCTCCTGTGAACTGTCAGCTGCCCCTTTACTGTCCTCTGATGTTCTGTGAGTACCTAAGTCCCCAACCTCCCTTTCCCCATCTTCAGCTTGCCCTGGTGTGTACCAGTCATGGCTACACCCCTTGCTGGGATCCTCTTCCCCTTCCTTGGTGTTCTGCTGGTTCATGACATTGAGCAATAATTCAGATTTGTTTGTGGTGAGCTTATATGACAATAAGCATTCAGCCTGGTTTCATCTGGATTTGTTTGACCATCAACTGATCATTATCCTATACCAGGCATCCCCAACCTGCAGCCCTCCAGATGTTTTGGCCTACAACTCCCATGATCCCTAGCTAACAGGACCAGTGGTCAGGGATGATGGGAACTGTAGTCCAAAACATCTGGAGAGCCGAAGGTTGGGGATGCCTGTCCTATACTTTTTAATGCATTTCATCACTTTGCTAACCATAAAATGTCTGGGAGGGGTTCAAGTGGATTTGTTGCACCACTTCACTACATTTTCAGTTGAATGTTTCAGTCTTGAGGTGACCTGATGGCTTCGCTAATCTATGGAACTGTGGGGACTGTTTGTGAATGGACTCAGACATTCCATCAAGTACTTTTTTTACACATACACAGTTCTCAAAAGGTCCTCATGGAGGAGCCATGATAATCTTTAGAAGGGTCAACAAAGGTATGGATACACATGTTATTTGGATGACAACTGGATTCAGGGCACACTAGGCTCTGCAGTTCTCTATAGTTCTCAGCCCTGCCATCCGCTTAAATATGAGGGTAGTTCATCCCTGGCCATATGCTGTAATAATAAGGGTGCCTATCTTCACACATTAGTAATAATCAGCCTTCACACATTTGGGATTAGAGGGGAACAGTTGCAGATCACATGCCAGCCTAGAATCAGACCTTTTTTTGATATTCATATCACTTTTGACCATTAATCTCACTCAGTAGCACAACAAATTGGGGTTTAAACTCTTTATGTTGCCTCTGTGCAAAGCCTGAAATAATTGTTTTAGGATTCTGTATGCTAGGATGGGCTGGTGGCACTAGGCACCGGCAGAGGCCTCATGGCCAACCCTCGACCTGCATTGTTGTTGCTGTTCTTTAATTTAAAATATTTATAATCCTGCATTTCTATCCCCTCGTGGTCCTTTGCAACTCTATGGTTCCATGATTCTATCTCAGGCAGAGGCAGCTGAAGCAGCTACTCCTCACCATCCTCACTGACTTGGCCTTTGGGGCAGGCAGAGGAGAAAGCAGGAAAGTAGGGATAATGGCAGCCATCTACCCTGTTCACCTGCCATTTCCCTCTGGGCAGGGATGAAGGTTGGGTCTCCATCATGCTGCTACCAGTTTGCTTGCCTCCCCCTTGCCTGGTTGAGTGAGTGCATGGAAGGAAAGCAGCTGCCACCACCAAAAGCAGCAACACTGAGGGATGGGGGCAATGAGGACATATTGCCAAAGCTCCCAAATCCTCATTTTGTCATTGCCCAGCAAGCAACAACTGCTCTGCCAAGGTTTCTAGGCAACAGTGAGAAACAACAGCACAGTGCTGGGGCAGATTTAACTAATTTGGGCCTAAGTCAAGCCACACTAAAGCCATGTTTTTATTCAGTCAGCCATCTTGATTCAAAATGGCATCTAACTATAACCAAACATAGACAAAAACCTGCTCCAGGGGCCACCGTGTAAAATTTGGTTATGATATTTATGATTTGGTTATGATTCTAGGTGTCCAAATGCACAGAGAACAGACAAACTACTTTCCAAAACATATACAATTTGAAAATTGGGGTGGTGGTTGAGCTCACCCTGACTCACGTCAAACTGGCTCAAATAAGATAGGAAGCTTTCTCTGAAATGGCGGGGACGGGGGACGGGGGGGGGGGGACAGACCTTCCATGTGTCATATTTTCCAGGGACAGTCTCGGATTTATAGAAGTCTTCCCAGTTTCTAATTTGATCCTGGAATGTCCCATTTTCCCACAGGACATCCCTATTTTCATCAGAGAAATGTTGGAGGGCATGGAATTATCCAATCCCCGAGCCATCTGAAGGCAGCTCTGTACAGGGCAGGTTTTTAATGCTTTATTATGTTTTTATATGTGTTGGAAACTGCCCAGAGTGGCTGAGGCAACCCAGTCAGATGGGCAGGGTATAAATAGTGAAATTATTATTATGGAATAGGACGTCTGTATTTTCATGGGATAAATCTTGGAGCTTATGGGGATCATAGTGCTTGCCTTGTATTTCAGGTGATCCCTAGGAACAATTATTTATTTTCAAGCCCAGAAATAGAAGTTGTGTTGCTATCAATAGCCATAAGCCTGCATCTTAAGGCCTTTGTCCTTTAAAAAATATATCGAATTTAGCACTTTAAATGGTTCTCAAGATTTGGATCGCAAGCTGCTGTGGATGGGGGGGGGAGTGTAAGGGTAATACATGCTGCGTCTCTGTGCCAAATCAATTGAATATTCCACTCCACATTGCGAATATTCAGAATTCATGCTGTTTAAATAGGCCAAACATCTGCTCCGGCTCTTTAGAGTTCCTCAGCAGCAGTCACACTCTTGTACGTCACCATCACCAGGGTTTGGAATAATCATGGTGCCAAAAACACCCCTTCCAAAATCTGCGAAAAATCCAGTTGCATTTCAGACTCCCATTCAGGCGTCCACAGATGCTGGCGTTATCATAACATCCTCTCCCTCCCTTTTTTGCAATTCAGAGGTAGCTTTAAAACATGCTGTTCCCAAAAGCCGCACTTTCTGCTCCCCCTTTTTCCCCAGTGCATATTATTCATTAGGAGCCTAATGTGAGTTTCAGACTGTACTGTGCGTCTTTGACAGAAGGGCATATGTGCCTGGCCATGTGCTTGAGACAGATAAGTACATAAACAGCATATTGGCACCAGACAGACATCTGTGCCTGGGGGGG